ACACACATATATCCACTCATACATGCATACATACATACATCCATTCATACATGCACACATATATCCATTCATACATGCACACATATATCCATTCATACATACACATATATCCATCCATGCATGCACACATATATCCATTCATACATGCATACATATATCCATTCATACATACATACATATATCCATTCATACATACACACATATATCCATTCATACATGCACATATATCCATTCATACATACACATATGTCCATCCATCCATGCATGCACACATATATCCATCCATACATGCATACATATATCCATTCATACATACATTCATACATGCATACATATATACGTAGTCTAAAAGAGGCTTGGGAGGTGACTGGGTTTTTTAAAAAGATATATTCTGAAGTATACCTCCTAGGATGGTGTCTACCTCTTGAACAAACCCAAAATTACTCCCCACCTAGACCTCTTCCCTTCAGGGAAGCCTCCTGCAATGGTTACAGTGTTTTCTTTCCTCTAGATACCTATAAAGGACACAGGAAAGGGAGAAGGTCCTTTATGATAGCAGTTTGGCAAATCCAACCCAGTTTGTCAAAATTATCATGAACAGGAAAAAAGTGTAATGTTTGATACATCATCCAATTAATACCAGAGCAAAGGAGCAAATGTACATCTGTCCAGGGACAATGTAACAGAAAACCTAGATTCTGAGGTCAGATCTCCTGGATTCTAACACCCCCCCTCCCCATCCTTACCAGCTGTATAAACTTGGAAAGGTGCTCAATGTCTCTCCTTAGGTTTTGATTCTTCATACACCGTGTGTGCTGGAATAATGCTGTGTATCTCAGACAATGCATGCTCTGCAGTGCCTGGAAGGCTCTTCCATGGGTGTTACTATTATTATCAAAATTCAGAATGTCTGACCAGGACCAAAAGAGTCCCCAAAAGATCCACAATCTAGTGAGGAGAACGCCCTTTTGTTTTATGAAAGGACTGAGGCCTTCCAAACTCTGGCAGGGTTCTGGGCACAGCTGCTAAGCAGCTGTTTCCCATCTCTACTGGGGACCAGCAGAGAGTTTTAAAGAGCCACATGTGAAGTATTTTTGTGTAAAGTATTAGGAATCGCTTCCTTATGTTTAAGGATACATAATCCAAGGCTGAACGCCTCAAGAAAAGCCATGGAATCCTTTCCTCTTAATATTCATTAAAAAAAAATTGAAGAGATCTCTCTAAGATGACTAGGAGCCTGGAAGCATGTCATGTTAAAACAGTAAGCAGTTTCCACAGGCCACCTCCAGTTAAACTCTCTTGTTGAGCTTCATCCTGTGAAGTACTATTACCCTGGAGACATGAATATACAAAAGGAGGGAACAGGGGAAGCAGGTTCCTCCACTTAGTGAAAACATGATGAAAACATTTCAACATACGATTAATCTTCATTCAATGTAACTTTAAATCTTGTTAGGAAGCCATTTCTGAAAGACTCGAAGGGGCAACGGCCCCATATAAGCACATTAGGAAGGCGGGCAGACATTGAGGTCACATTTAGGTGTCACCTTGGATGAATAAGTACCTCTCTCCTATTGCTATGGCTTACAGATCATGCTACTGTATGTTCAACTCCCAGCTTAAGATGGAAAAGGTAGAGGGAGGTAAAAAAAAATCACTTCCAGTAGTGTGGTGGTTCCTGTCAATAATCTCAGATAGGGGTTGGGAAGGTGGCTCAGTGGTACAGCGCTTGCCTTGAACTCATGAGGCCCTGGGTTCCATTCCTCAGCCCCATATAAGCAGAAAAAGCCAGAAGTGGCGCTATGGCTCAAGTGGTAGAGCACTAGCACCAAGGCCCAGAGTTCAGGCCCCACAACCCACCCACGCCCAAAAAAATCCCAGATATTTGGCAGGCCATATCTTGAGAGGACCAAGGTTCAAGGCCACCTGAGGTAAAATGTTACCAAGCCCACCATCTCAACTAATAATCCTGGCATAGCAGGGCACACCTCTTATCCCAGCTATGCCCAAGTATATAGGTAATAAGCTCAGTCCCAAGCCAAGCAAGGCAAATACATGAGACACTATCTGAAAAATAATTAAAGCCAATCAGGCTAGGGCATGATTTAAGTGGTGAGGTGCTTGCCTAGCAAGAATTGGGCCCTGAGTCCAAACCCCAGGACCACCAAAAGCAAAAAAGAAAACCCTCTCTCAGGGATAGAAAGAAAAACGGATGGAAGTGGAGAGACCCAAATTGCACACCTATTCTTTTCAAACAGAAAGAGTGGTTTGGTTTGTATATTCCCTCTTGGATAGAAAGGATTCTTTCTGGTTTTAGCAAAGAAGTAAATGCAGTTTATTGCTCTGCATGTTGGTTGCCTAGAGAAAGAGGCCCAAAAGAAAGCAGCTTTCTAGAGGGGAAAACAGCTAGCAGAGGTTTTGATCCTGCACAACCTGAAGCTTGAGCCAGGCTGAAGAGAGAGTGTGTAGCTGACTGAGGCATAATGCTCATTCACAGTTTTACAGCCGCATAAGGGGATTAGACAGAGGGCTGGAATGGTGATGTGTGATAAAGACATTTAAGTGGAATTTAATGGTTTATTCTCTTTCAAATTATTGAACATTAAGTTTAAATGTTTTCATATAAATATTAAATTATATGTATATAGCAGAATTGCACATTTGCATATTGCCACTCTGTTTTGCAAGGAAAATGTGGCTTCTTTATTTCTCATCATTGATGAATTCTTCCTGCGAGCTTTTACGCTATGGAGAAGCAGAGATATCCAGCAAACTTGCCCGTGAAGAGTACCTCACATGCTTCCTTTTTGTTGTTGGGTTTTGTGGTACTGGGAATTGAACTAAAGGCCTCAAGCCTGCTAGGCAAGTGATCTACCACAAAAGCTACATCCCTAGCCCTAGGTTCTTCTGGAGTTTTGGTTTGGTTTGGTTCGGTTTGTTTTACCAGTCCTTGGGCTTGAACTCAGGGTCTGAGCTTCTTTGTGCTCAAGGCTAGCACTCTACCACTTGAGCCACAGCATCACTCCTGGCCTTTCCTGAGTAGATTACTGGCGATAAGTGTCTCATAGACTTTTCTGTCTGGGCTGGCATGGAACCATAATCCTCAGATCTCACTCAGCTTCCTGACTAGCAGGAGTACAGGCATGAACCACTGGTGCTCAGCAAGTTCTTTCCTTTCAAACAGTGTCCAATGGGTCATTACTTAAAGAGATGCTTCATGGAAACAAACTCCACAGTGTATTCTGTTTGTTACCTTGTGAAGATCTCTCCTATTGTCTTCTGGGGTATCACTGTGAGACACAACTGGCCTTCTGGGCCCCTGGGCCAGTATCTCTTTCTAGAGTCCACACTGCACCAGGCTGCAGGGAAACAAGTTTTGCCTCAGATGATGGACCTGACCATCCCCAGCTGCTGTGGACATGTTGCCAAGCCAGAAGCAGCTTCTCCTAACATCTTGCAGCCTCTCTCAGGCTATGGAAGAGGAAAGAGGCCTCTAACCCTAGCACGTTTCCATTCTTGTTCTATTCCCCAAGCTTCCACTTTAGAAAAGGAAGGAAAAAACAGTTTTCTCTTACAGCTACATTTGCTGTTTCACCACAACTAGTTTTAACCAGCTGGAGCTGTAAAACAACCATGACCTTTAACAACACAGTCCCCGCTACCCTGCCAAAGCTGATAAACAAAGAAACTTGAATGACCTCAGTTCAGAACCTTATGGAAACTAACTTTCCTAACCAGTGGTCAAGAGTATTTGTTTTAATCAAGCATATACAGATTCATAGACACATTCTGACCGGGACAAGAGTAAAACCTTTCCATCATGAATTAGCATAGGGACCATGCACCTCCTTCCCCTTCCAGTGCATAAAACACCTGTCTCTCCCTCCTGCTGTGTTTTGTTGCAGAAAAGTTAGCAAGCTAGATGCTTGCTGTGTGGAATGCTTGCTGTATAGTCCTGGATTCTCCAGCAGTAATCCTAACAAGGGGAGAAAGTTTTTGCCTTCTTCTTTGGTCTTCATTCTCTTTGGCAGAAGTGTTCCTTTTGATTGGTAGAATTCCCTGTGACTTTGCTCCCAGAGGAACTATTATGCTTCATCATCATCTAGAACTGGTGGCAGATGGGATTCGGGAGGAGAAACGGGCTTAGCCATTAAGATAGATCTCATGACAGATTTTTATATTATTATTCCAGTTTTAGATATATATATACATATACGTGTCAAAAATTGCAAATTCATAGTTAAACCAGGTAAGCAAAGAAAACCCAAAAAGTGGAGATTCTACTTTTAGATTGCACGCTGGGCATTGAACACACTTCAGAAGTTCTTAGCACTTCCCTAGGTAACTCATTCATTCTTCCAATATCCCTATCATATAGGTGTTTTTACTATCATTATAGATGAGGAAACTAAACCCCAGGATGGTGAAGTAACCTTACACAAGGCCCCAGGGTAAAGTGCTCAAAGTGGGCTTCAAGTCTAGACAGTTTGGGTCCTGGGAAACTCATTGGCTAACGTTACAGTACCACCGCTGGGGGTCAGCATGTCAAACGCAAGGGGCAGCAGCTTCTCAAGGAAGAAAAGGGAATTTGATTTACTGAAGCCCTTCTGGGTACAAAACACTTGTGTATAAACACTTTAAGATTTAATCTAAGACATGAAATAAAACTTTTTAGGCCACAGAATATGTGCAACAGTTAGTGAAATGACTGGTTTTTGTCCATATAGCTTTTTTCCATATTTTTAAAATATGGGCAATTTTAAATATGGACAATTTAATATGGACAATCTTTTAAACTGGAAAAAAATGATAACATTAGAGTAACTTGGAAGTGAAGAGGAGTGGTCCCTAATTTTTCATTAAAAAAAGGGCTCTTCCTAGCTGTTCACACCTGGTCACACAATGCAACTATTATTAGAAAGACTTCAGGAAAGATATGATCAAAAAAAAAAAAGAAGAAGAAAAGAAAGAAAAAAGAAAAAAATCAGCCCAAGACAGCATTTGCTACAAAATTATCTAGGTTTAATCGCTATGAAAATCAGAACCATAGTACATTAAAGTACAAAACCTTTATGTACAATTACACATACAAAAAAAATGTTCTTTGTGAGGAGCAATTTCAGCAAATCTGACAAACAGCAAGAATCATTCCTATTTTGGGTTTGAAAGGAGAGATGGAAATTTTCAAGATATACCTCCCCCTCCTATTCAGACCCCTGTGACCCACTGAACATCAATTTGCAAAGGCCTGAGGTAGGAAAAGAGGTATTTAACAATATCAGGCACTCATTCCTTCCCTCTTATGGAAAGGAGGAATTTTTAGGGAATGCTTTTTCCATCATTTATTATACTGATGTTCCATCCATCTGCATCATTAGGTGCAGTAGTTACCATGACAATATGATGCCTACAGCAATCTAACTTGATAGCCAGATGCCAAAATGAGAAAAAAAATAGGACTGGCTAAGAAAGTGAGAGAAATATAATTAATCTGAACCACATCGAGAATGTGCATCAAACTAGGACCAGGAGGAAAAATCGGTGAAATGTCATTGAAGAAGGAATCATTGAAGGGCAATAATCATCAAGTTTAGGGGTAAAAATCTTTGCTAACTAGAGCTATGTATTCGTCTATAAGTGAAGCTGAGGAAAGAGTCAAAGCTAAGTTGGAATGTGGCTCTGAGCCCGGGATGCTATTCCTGAGATCCTAAAGGCCTTCCCCTCCATCTCAAATGCTGCCGCTGTGACACACTGCCCATTAGACCCAGATTCCCCACCTGATGAAATCATTTCCATGCTTTGGAGCTAGCTAAATTAAGGTCTAGACTGAGCTGTTTTTAAGCAGTCCCATCTCCTTGCCTTCTACGTGTCCAGCAGTCCTGCACAACTCACAGCCAAGAGGATGGGAAATTAAGAAAAATTACAGTGACATATAAGTGGTGCTCCCCAGAGACAAGCCTGGGCCAGGTGGTCGTTCTCAGCATGGCTGGGTTGGATAGCGGCGCTGAGCCAGGCGGTTGGGCCGATTCAGGCTGGTGGTGTGGGAGAGCTGGAAGAGAACAGAAACGATGCTGGAGTGGACATACAGCCCCAAGCACGCCACTGCTCAGGGATGACCAGCTAGACTGAGGGAGAGCATCCCAAGTGTCAGTCTAGAACACATCAGCTACAGATGGCTTCTCAACATTGCATTCTTAATGGTTCACTTTCACCTGCTGAATCTGGCTAGAAGCTATCTGATTTTATAAAGAGGGGAAAACAACAGGCATTAATCAGCTGAGCTAAGTCTGTTCCCGGTGGCTGAGGAGTGTGGAGGTTGGCTTTTCTTCAGGTTTGTAGTAATCCCCTCATCCCAAGACAGAGGGAGGAGGAAATCAGACCACAACACTAATAATATTCTAATGAAAGGAATATTATTTATTGAGCTTTTTCTTTTCCTTCTTTGCTTAAAAAAACACACACACAAATGTTGGGGGTTGAGTTCAGGGCCTTACACTTGCTAGGCAGGCACGCTACTGCTCTGAACCGTTCTGTCAGTCCACTCTTGGATTGGTTCTTTTCAAAATTAGGGTCTCTCTGTCTCTGGCCTGGCCTGGCTCTTATTTGTGCCTCCCTTTGTGGCTGGAATGACAGATTCATGCTTCTGCACAAAGCCTTGTGCCTTCCTGTGACTTACAAAGACATGCATGAACCACCTCACAAGCCATTGGTTGAGATGGAATCTTGAAGAACTTTTATGCCCAGGCTGGTCTTGAGTCATCATCCCTATACTCTGCTCACCCCCTCACACACACACACCCAATTATCTAGTTTAAGCCACTACTCCACGCTTATTGAGCACTGAGCATTATTGAGCTTATTGAGACACCCATCAAAATGTCTGGGTGCCAGACACTTTGTATGTGTATCTGTGTTATAAAATACTTAGCAAGGTTAGATAATTACTCGGGAATTCATCTAGAGTAACTGGTAAACTGGAACTGTAAACTCAGTCTCCTTAATTCACAACTTGCGCTTCCATCCTCTTCCCTCAAGGGTGTCCTTCCTTACCTGTGAGACCTGAGCCGGGTTGTAGAGAGGAACCGCCCCTTGCAAGGTGGGTGGAGGAAGCAGAATGCCAGGTCTGGAGGAGAGCTCAGAGGAAACACCCTAGGATGGAACATAAGAGAAAGTCTGATTAATGGCAACTTCCAGGAATAGGAAGTCTTCCCAAAGCATGAATTTTGGTCAAGAGAAGTGGATGAAAGAGTTTCTTATAAGACCCAGGAAATCCATCTCCAGCAACCCAATATGACTCAAGTATGTACAACCACCACCACCTGGGTTTGGGGTGGCAAAGCAGACTTGGGTGCTGCCACACCTGAAAGCAGGTAAGAAGGAAAAGCCGCAGCAAAATATATCGGTGCCATCATTAGAAGCATTTTCACATTCTTCAGAAGGCCTACAATACTACGAGAGTGCTCCAACCAGACTTCAAGAAATACAAATGCTTCCGTGGCAAGACATGAGATCCACTGGTAACTTGTGGACACTGTGAAGAACGTGTTAGAGCCCTAGACAAGGCAGCCAGTAAACTCCAGCTCCCACTGGGTCAGAGAAGGAGGCGGCGCCCTAAATTCACCTAAAGAGGCTGGATGGGATGAACCTTATCCCTCCAAAACTTCGTAAGGTACAACCCTAAACTTAAAGAAGCCTAACTCTAAATGGGTCCCTAACTTAACATGACTGTTGTCATGAAAGACCAGGTAAAGACATAATGGGGAGAAAGTCAGCATCTACAAGCCAGAGAGAGAAAGGCCTCAGAAGAAACAACACCACTGACATTTTGACCTTGAACCTTAATCTCCAGAACTTGAGGAAATACATTGCTGTTATTTAAGTCCTCCCACCCGTGGTACTTTGTGATGGTAGCCCAAGAAAACTAAGGCAGAAGCCTTCCCTCTATTTTCTGTAAGTCAGCCCCACACTGGGCCCCATCTCCGAACCACAGTGAGAGTCTGGGCCTCCCTCCTGGGAAGCCTAAGCCCCAGCCTGTAGGCTGCTTACTTCAAGTGCTGAGAAGTCTCCAGCCCCGGTGACCTTCACTGCTCCCCCACTAGACACGGCGGATCCTGGGACTTCCCCTCCACCTAGAAGGCAAGGGAGTTAGCACTGCTTCCTCTGCTCAGGACTGAGGAGCTCCATCTTCCAGAAGACATCCTCTAGCCCATGGACAATAAGAGGAATAGAGAGGCGCTGAAGAGCTGAGATTGGCAGTACCTATGCTCCTGGAGAGGGCACTGGTGCCAGGCAGAGGCGGGGACTCCAGAGGAGGCGTGGGTGACAGGCTGGCCGGGTGGGCAGATGGTGCTTGCAGGGATTCCTGCTTAGTGAAGAGTGGCGGCACAGGTACCATGGGTAATGAGTTCATGCCAGTCTATATGTGTTCCCGCACCCACAGCAGTGGCCTCCACCTGTGACATGCTCTGGAGACTCTCCTCCAAACACCATTTTCCTTTCCTCCTATGCCCCGAAATCTGGGTTATCTTTCTGTTACTGAACGTGTTCAGGCTTTTCATTATCTGCCCTTGGCCTCCCAGACCCCTGGTCCTTTCAGACCTGACCACTAGTCACAGTGATGGAAGACACCCTGTGTTGGCCCCTGGGGAAGGGACTCCGTTCTTCCACCGAGCACACCTCTGAGTCTGAGCTGTGTGATGAGTCTTCATCTCCAGAGTGGGTGTCACTGGTGGTGGGCTTCCCTCGAAACCAGCTGAACCAGCCAAATCCTGAGCTCTGAAGGGGGAAAAAAAAAAAAGTGAAGGTCCATCCGTTTGTTTCTGCCACTGACAAATTCACCATGCTCCACCCCAGTATGAGATGGAAGGGGAGAGGAGGGGAGTCCCTAATTCTGCTCTACCATTTAGGACCGGCCTAGAAGGGGACAGAAGCGTAGAAAGACACGAGCAATCCCTCCACCTTTGTATTCTCCTTCACATCTCCTGGCTTTTCTTTCTGTGCAGCATTTTGGGAAGTCTTTTTGTCTGCTTCATCAGGAGACTCCTCATTCTCCTTGGCTGAAACAGTGGAACTCTCAGAATATCTTCGTTCTCTGAAGGCTGGCAATGCCTGGGATTAAATAAGAAAGAATGAACATTTATAGAGCACTTGGCAGGGAAGAGAGCACATTTCCACGCACCCTGTCAGCTGACCACTCAGTAAATCTACGATAGTCTTAGGGGATCCTTATCTCACTGAGGAGGGAGTAAGACTCAGCCAGGAAAATATTTTGCCAAAGGCTTGGGACCAGGGCAGGACCCAAGCCCAGGCTTCATGTTGTCCTTAAACTTGGGGACTTTTGTCTACTATGGGACCTCTCCAGAAGCTAGTCTCCAAAGTTGGACTTACAGCAGGGAGTAGGGAAAGCAACTCCTGGAGATGAAGAGAGACTGGAAAGATCCCATAGAGACCTCCAAAACTCAAACAAGGAGAACGTGGGAAACAGGCAAACTAACTCACCTTAGAGCTCATTTCCTGAGATTCACTCAAGAGCAAATGTGAATATACACACAGGAGGGGAGGGACATATCCCCACACCCCTTCCATTTAGCTTTCTATGGTGGGATAAAACACACATACGCATAAAGCCCATCACTTTAGCCACTTCTAAGCAATGGCCCAGCAGCAGTGAACACATCCACAACGAACACATCCATTGAAGACATCCATCTGCACCCGCCATCATCATCTCCTACAGCAACTCGATCAGCTTCACCTGGCCTCAGCCCCTCACCTCTAATCTCTACCTACTTTCTTTCCGTCTCTATGAAATTGCCTATTCCAGGCATAACATCATAAAACATATCCTCTTTTTGTGTCACATTTCCATTTACGGCTTGCAGTAAAGCATAATTGGTACAAACGTCAGGAACGACTTTGGCAAAACACTGGGTGGGAGGAAGCCTTATTTTTATTCTACTGAATATAGTATTTAGCTCTGTTCTAAGTCCTTTATGCATAGTGATGCTCTTAATCTTTACAACAGACCTGTGAGGGAAGGACTATTACTACCTTCTAGTCTTAAAAATGGGGAAATTATGCCATTGGAAGGTTAAGCAACCTGCCTAAGGCCACACAGCTAGCAAATAGCAGAGAAGGCTTTAACCATAGCAGTCTGGGTCTCTGATTCTTCTAAGAATTTCTCCTCTGAGTCAAGACACAATGGATTCTGCCATACCAATATTAAAAATCATATTTCCGAATCATACATAAATGACATGGGATGATACGGAAAATCTTATTTACATGCTGCTAAGTAGCAAATACAATTTATAGACCCATATTTTAACCACTTGAAAGAACAAGTGTGCATTTATGTACACATTCAGAGCAAAAAATGGAAGGGAAGAACTAAAACATTTAGCTATGGGATTATCAATGATGTTTACTTTGCTCGTTATATGATGTTTTACTTTTTCTAGAACAGTAATATACTACAGTACAAGCTGAAATTCTCAGTTTTGTGGCAGTACTGGGGATTTGAACTCAGGGTCCTGGCACCTGATAGTCAGCGCTCACACCACATGAGCCATGTCCTCAGGCCTTTGTGCTTTCATTATTTTTTAATCATTTTGCACTTATACCCAGGACGGCCCACACCATCCTCTTCCCACATAGCTGGACGGAAGATATTTCCACCACATCCAGATTATTGATTGCAATGGGATCACGTGAAGTTTTTTTCCAAGCTGACCTCTAACTGAGATCCTTCTGATCTCTATCTCTTGAGTGAGCCTCAACACTAAGCCCACAGAAGTGCTTTAAGACCTGTGGCCCAATACTACTTGAAACTGCTTTCTGATATAATCTTCCAACCAGGCAAAGCCACACAGCAACTTAAGTTTGGCATCAAAGCTGCCCACTGCTGAGGGAAAAGGTACTTTCAGCCAACAGTGTGGTAGAATGATTATACATGGTCTCCTCTGCCGCCTTACAGCCTGCAATTGAGAAGACATAAGCAGGCTCTTTCATGCCTACCATAGAGCAAGGTAAAAATTAGAATACAGACATAAATAGCCCATCTTCAGCAATGGGGCAGGGCACCGTGTGAGCATCAGGTGAGCAGAGACAAGAGGTCGCCTTTAAAGGAATAAGATCTGTGAACCCAGAACTCAGCCTGCTCTGCTGCCTTCCACCCAAGGCGAAACAGGGAGGGACTGAGCCTCCATCCAAACTTCCAGGACCCCTCACAGAAGGCAAGGGGGATGACAGTGGAGGAGAGACTGGAAGAGCCAGGAAGAGACTGTGGCTGAAAGACCAGAGGCAGCGGTGTTGCTCAGCGTGGACCCTGGCCTCCTCCCTGCCTCCTCCTCTCACCTGAGGTTCAGGAATGACCCTTAGACCATCCTGGGAGCCGTCCTGAGAGGCAGTGATGTGTCCTATAGTACCAAAGAGAATCAGAGGGTAAGCCCAATGTGTGCTATCCCACCCATCCTAAAGGGTAGTAAGGACACAAAGCAGGGAAGGGGCTGCAGCCCAGAGGCCTTAACCACAAGCAGGTCACAGAAGATGCAGCGCCTGCTTGTTTGACTCCTGTCCGTTCCGGCCACCACAGGCCACGCCGGTCAACACAACTCTACCTCAAACACCAACATCATTTCTTAGGAGTCTGGGAAGAACAGGGAGCGAGATCCCATGGACTCATCCTCAGTCCTTCCTGGGTGTCTCTATCTTGCTCAGGGTCTTTCCTTCGGTCTAAGATCCAATCCTAGGTGGATCCTGGTGTCACTCAGCACTACTCCTCCAGATTCAGTCCCAGCTATGTGAGATCTGAGGAGCCTGAAGAATTGTGGTCCGGGACAGAAACACCATCTCTGCTACAGTTCCTTACTGTCATCCATTGGGGGCAAGATGATCAGAAAGATGGCCTGGCCTGTACTACAGTGCATGCAAGGCACAGTCAGGATTATCTTTACTCACTCTGAAGTCTCTCCATGATAAACTATAGGAGAGGACAGAGTGGCTGTGTCCATTCTGCTCTGCTTGCCCAGGTAGAGAGATAGCTGGGCTGGCACACAGCAAGGTAGATGCAAAACATCAGCACATAGGCCAACACGGGGCAGACTCAACCACACAATCACATCGATGCCTTCCCCAACTCCAGCATGTCCCTGCACCTTCCTCTACCTACGGCTTCCTATAAGACTCCATTCCCATTGTATCCCGATAGGGTGGCAGGTCTTACCAGGGGTAGGATGTATATGCAGTGTTTCTTCCCAAGCCCTTCCTGCAGGAGCTCCTGCTACTGCCACGCTGCCACCGCCAGTGCTGATCCCTGAGTAGGGAGTCTCAGGAACAGCATAAAGAGGCACTGAGGCCCCCAGGTGCCCTGAACCGCCTCCCCCTGGGTAAGGATCCTGCTGGAGGGAGATGGGCTGCCTTGGGCTGGGCTGGGTGGGGCCTGTCTGCTCAGGTGTTGACCACAGGGCTGAGCTGTAGCCAGGGTCTTCTGAGGAGCCTGGCTGTCCCGAAAGATCCTGGTAGAAAGTATCTAAGACAAAGGAGAAAGAAGAAGCAGTTAGGCCCCAAACGTGCAATTCGAGGACTAATCACACCAGACACACTCCTGGCCTTGCCCACTTTGGAGAGTAATGACAGGACCAGCTGTCTGATTGACTTCTATGTATGTGATGACGAGCAACACCCAGAGTGATTGTGACACCCCTCGCTGCCTCTTTCAGAATTATTCCCTCACTTCTTCAGATGATCGCTGAGCTTTTTCTAATTTTTTCAGTCATGAGGCTTGAACTTGAACTCAGGGCCTGGATGGTATCCCTGGGCTCTTTTTACTCACAGCTAGCACTCTACCGCTTTGAGCCAAAGCACCACTTCTGGTTTTCTGGTGGTTAATTGGAGATAAGAGTCTCACAGACTTTCCTGCCTGGGCTGGCTTTGAATCCAGATCCTCAGATCCCAGCCTCCTGAGTAGCTAGGATTACAGAAGTGAACCACCAGTGCTTGGCTAATCTCTGAGTTTTTAATCCATGGAATGGGAGGGTAGAACTTACTGTCCCATTTAACTCCATACCTTGTGATTTGGGGGAGAATAGTTTTTTCTTTAAGGATTTCCTAGTGGACTTAAATATTTGAAACTTTAAAAGCTTACAGTTAAAACTCAAATCAGCCAGCATGGTAGCATACTCCTGTAATACTAGCTACTCAAGAGGAGGAAGTACAAAGATCAAGGTCCAAGGTTGGCCCCAGGAAAGTTAGTGTGAGTCTCTATCTGAAAGACAAACTACAACAAAAAAGTTGAGGCTCAAGTGATAGAGCACCTGCCTAGCAAGTATGAGGCCATAGTTCAATCCTCAATACTTTAAAAAAAAAATCAGACCTTAAAAATGATGGCTTTGCTTTTAAAGCATCAGGCCTTTCTGGTACCAGTGGCTCAGACCTGTAATCCTAACTACTTAGGAGGCTAAGATGTGAGGATTGGGATTCAAAGCCAGCCTGGGCAGGAAAGTCCATGAGATTTGATCTCCAGCCAACCAACAAAAAGCCAGAAGTAGAGCAGTGGCAGAGCACTAGCCTGGAGCCCAAAGCCCAAGGAGCCAGGCCCAGACAACTGGTGTGGTTGCCAGTCTACCTACCCCACTGGGCAGCTGCAGTCGGGGCTGGGAGGAAACCACCATCCAGCGATGCCAGCCTGACTCTGGCAAAGCCACAACTCAGAAACCAAGGCCTCCTCTTCCATCCTTCCCCTTCCTAAAGGAAGCCCAGAAGACTGAAGAGGCCAGAGCCCCAGCAGACCCTCCACCGTGGGCGTCACTGGGGGAAGGGTGTGGAGTTCCCTAGGGACACAGCACCTTCGGGCCAGAGGCATCCTGAAGGACACTGTGAAAACACTTTGAAAAATAGGGGTTTCGCAGCTATACAGCAATTGATCATGAGAAACAATCTTCAAGGTACATGGAGGGACACAGGGTAAGCCAACTCGGCACCAAGTTGAAAATGAATTATACAACCTGTGGGTGGAGACGGGAGGGGAAAAGTAGGAGAGAGCGAGGGAAGGGGGGACATTGTTCAAAAAGAAATGTGCCCTCTACCTGACTTATGTAACTGTAACCCCTCTGTAGATCGCCTTGATAATAACAATGAATGTGTTTAATTAAGTTTCCTAGTGTTCCTAATGTCTACAACACTAGGAAAAGATTCAGATAGCCTAACAGCTCTAACCTCAAGAAACTTAATCCCACGGGGGCAAGTTTACAAAACTACTAGCAATGCAACACAACGTGCACAATATCCAGGTATTTAAAAGCCCAGGCTATAAAGCAAGAACTATACTGCAGGGAGGTGGAGGTGTCTGCGGAGGGGATGCATAGACTAAGGAGTCAGACATACACAGAGAAAGGCGCACCCACCGTGGGAAGGGAAGGAGGACATGGCTAAACTATTTTTTCTCCAACAGTTTGAGTGTTAAGTGCCAGGTGATCATTTTGGGTACCTGTGGTGGTTCTTCTGGCTTCGGACTCATCTGAGTGGGCAGCTGGAGGATCACCAATGTCTCCAGCTACCTTTAGCTATTTGAGATAAATTAAAAATCCTTGTAAGCAACACAAAGGCAGGGTTGGGGGGGGGGGGAGGGAATAGTTGAAATTAACTAGAAACTTCCTGTTAGGGGTGAGTAACAAAGGAAGGTAACTGCGGAGTAGGGTCCCATGGAGGGGATCCTCATTCCCAGGCAGGGATGTCATTATTACAGTCAGTGTCATCCACCCTTGCCAGAGGGAGGGACAAAATGGCAGCAACTAAACCATAGGCCTCTCCAGCCGAGGGAGAAGCGGCCCTGTGTGCTTTTTTAAAAGTCTACTTTGTCCTTTCTTCAGAGCAGAGTAGAAGAAAGAAAATGGAGGGAGGCCCTGCTCCAATTACTGTTCTGATTATGACCAGCAGATTTTGCAATTGTCAGAACAAAAAGGACAGGCCCGGAAGTCTTTTAAGCAATTGCCCTACATTACATGAAAGTGACACGGGTCTGCTGTGATCCATTGTTCCTAACCGAGATGGGGAAGCTTTGATGGTCATGAAACAGTCCCTGGGTCCTCAGAGAACCGCAAGAGCATTTGGAAGAGCGCTCCCCTCTGCGTAGCCTGCAAACACCAGGGAAAGGTTTGCACTGGAGAGCAGCAGCTGCAGGGAAAATCAGGCACCCTTCCTAGACGGCGGCGCCTCAGGGCGATGGGAGAGCCCACAGTGGGGCCTGGGCACTTGCTAAAACACAGGGCCCACCCCGGGAACACCCCAGCCCATTCTCCTCACCTCTAGTTCCTGGTGTAGCTTCCTAAGCTGCACTAGCCAATCTGGCTCCAGTTCCCTGTCCCCGCGGTGTCTTTCTAAAACCAGAGGATCTGACAGCTTCAGTTTGTCTGCGAGCTGTACCGGGTTTCCAGACAGGTCAGGTTCAGAGAGTAAAAGAAAGCAAGGAGAGAGAGAAGAGGAGAGCCATGGAAATACAACAGACCGAGGGGGGAGGGGATAAGGGGAAAGGAGAGAGAGCTATAACTCACTTGTAAATTCAATGCTAAGCAATAATTGAGAAATAACGAATTCAGCAGATATGCTCCCAAAATTGTGACATACATAAACAAGCAGCCCATCTGGATTAGATACAAAACAAAATATGGGCAGAAACAGTTGCTCGACTTCCTTGCTCTGCAAAGTTGCCATCTCCGTAGAAGAAGCTTTTTGAACTTTGGTACCCACAAGGATCACTAATTCTGGTCCCTGATCTCTGGACAGAGCCCAAGATCTGCAATCTTAACAAGCTTCCAGATGGCAGCGATGCCACTTTGTGTACGTTTTTAATTTATCTTTTTATTATCCTTAAGTAGTTGCAAAGAGGGCTTTCAATCCAACATGTTGAATTGTTGATAAGCCCAACGCATCTTGGTCACTGTCACCATGCCATTATTCTGCCCCACCTCTCCCAACGCCACCTACCCTTCTCAGATTTCCTAGCTTAATTTTCAAATGCACACACTGAATACCATGACTGTGCTCACCCATCATTCCCCTCGCCCCGCATCTACTCCCTCCCCTCCACCTCCCCTCCCCTTGACAACACATCTTCCAGTTCCTGCTACTTTGTTTTTTAAGGCTTTATTTCATTATTGTATCCCCAAACTTTCCTAACTATCCATCCTGGGGCCCTGAGCTCCTGCTGGCAGGATTTTCGGAGTATGGGGGGTGGAGGGGGCTTAGCCCTACAGATATTACTGGTCACTGAATCCAACACTTGAGCCTCATCTAAAATAAAAACAGAAATTTAAGGGCACACTGACTTTTTAACTTCCTAACTAATGGATTATTCTTCAATTAATTGGAACAACTATTTGCCTGATAGTTGTTTTCTTCCCCGGGAACTAAGGGCTGATATGTTTTTGTTTTCCTTTTTTTTTTTTTTATGTATCCCACATGTGATAAAATATTCCATGCATTTAAAAGCATTTTAATAAGGATCATTTCCTGTTGTAAGCACTAAAATGTATTTTCTAAGCTTCACCTTGGTAATGTAAACAGCTCACCGTAGCATGCAGTTCTACTGTATCAGAAAAGCAGATGCAGGAGTGAATTTCTCAGGAAGCCCCTCCCCCACCTTCCCCATCCGCCTCCTGCTTCCTTCCTTGTGTGTGTGTGGGGGGGGGGGAGGCCTCGGCTTATCACATCAGGGCATGCATATGTGGTCAAAGACAGCCATGGGCTCCAATTTTGCAGTATGTTCAAAGTAGATGAAATGTGGAGTCTAAGCTGCTCTACAATGGCTTTCTCTGAACACTGAAGATAAAACACCTGCAGAAACGCCTTTGAGATGCTCACCTTGATGAGCTCCACTAATAGCACAGGGTGAGTGCTCTCCGCCTGGCTCAGGACGGCCGCACCAATGGCTTCACAGTAATGCAAGGCCTGGGACACTAGGCCGTAATCTGCCAGCCGGGATGCATAAAGGAGTTTATACACCTGTAAGGAGGAACAGGGCCAGAGAGGAATCCATTCAGGCAGGGATAGAGACAGAGAGAAATGTAGATAAGACTTCTTGGAAGTCAGCTGACTGCCAGCTTCTGCTAACTCTGGCAATCCAAATATCAAGGGCCCTGTGCCATTTGGGACATTTTATCTGCTTATGGGCTCACCTCCAAACCCAGGCTGCAGTTCCTCTATTGTGTACGGTGGGGGGGGGGACGACAAAAGGATGGGAACCATATCAGCTGAGACTCCCAGACTCTGCTCACTGTCTTATCCAACAGCCCACACCCCAGAGAGCCTGACTATATATAGCACAGCCCAAACAAACACCAGGTCATGTATGAAGACACAAAAATAGAGCCCAGAAGAGCATGACAAATACAAGCATGAGTGACAAAGGCAAGATCAAGCCTGAGGATTTGGGGGTCAGACAGCCCCGATCAAATGCAAGCTCCACCTGAGCTGTGAAGCACGGGGCTATTCACCTCACCTCTCCACGCACCCCCTTTCTTCACCCAGCATGGGGGAATGATGACACCACCCCCCTGCTTGGTTTCTGTGAAGCTTCTAAGAGCATCCATAGAAGTACTTAGGATGGATGTTATTAGGGGACGCGAGCCCATAGGTTATAACTCGTAAAAGGAGAGGGTGACCATACCTATCTTACAGGATTAAAACAAATGCACAATGCCAAGCATGCAAAACACTACTAAAAGTTTCAGTAAAATTACTGTCAGCCCAAAGTAATACTAAAATAACTGACCAATGGGATAAATGGAAAAAGGGAAGGAAGAGACCGAAGCCGGTAGACAAGGCTTTCCTTGGAAAAGTGAGTTGTTGACAGAACTGTCAAAGAAGAGATGATACATCATAATTCATTCCCAAGGGTGTGTTTGCTTTGTGGTAGGTGTGTGTGTGTGTGTGTTTATGTGTGTTGCGTTGTCGTTGCTGCATTGTTACTGTGTACACGCCGACTACCTGGCAGTAAAAGAGATACAAAGGTCTGTGGCAAAAGAAGATAATTTCAGCAAGGAGAAAAAGTATCTGCCCTTGAAAAAGAAGAAGAGTGAATGAAATGTCCCACGGGGCCCAGAAGCCAGTGCTGTGACCACAATTGTGTCAGCACAAGGACAGTCACTCTAAACCTGGCACTTTTGTAGTTAGTTAAAGCAACCAACTACCTCAGTCCTTGGCTGTATTGTCTAGGCCCCTTTCATAGCCCTGATCACCAAGGGCCATCCTTGTCATCCCCACAAAGTGACGAGAGGAGGCTGTATGATGCCAGGTCTTGGAGCACTCTGGAGATCGGACAGGAGGATAACATGATGGCAGCATCGCTCATGAATGGAAGGTAGCAATGGGACAGGTGATGAGGATGGAAAAAAGAAGAGAGAGAAGTATGGGTGCACCTGCCCAGCCGAGGCCCTGAGAGCAGGGCAAGACCTTGAAGGCCAAGGTCAGGTCGGGAAGTCTCCTGCAGGAGGGCCTAGCAGGGGCTGGGAAGGTGGCTCAGTGGTGCATGCATGAGGCTCTGGGTTCAATTCCTCAGCACCACATAAGCAAAAAGAAAAAAGCCAGAAGTGGCGCTGTGGCTCAAGTGGTAGAGCGCTAGCCTTGAGCTGAAGAGCTGAGGGACAGCGCCCAGGCCCAGAGTTCAGGCCCTATGACCAACAACAACAACAAAAAAAAAGGAAGGCCGAGCATCCCTGGATGGGCTCATACTCCCCTACCCCCCCCCCCCACCCAGGGACAGAATGTGTATACTGAGGAGAAGAAGGAGGAGGAGGAGGAAGAGGAGGAGGAGGAGGAGGAGGAGCTGCTGCTGGTGACAGTGAACCAGGAGGACAGAGCAGAGATGGTAGGTGGAGGAGGCCTGGGACTGCAGCAGGATTTCCAGGTGTCAGGAGTGAGGCTGAGCCTCTAGCAGAGAGATCTCTACAAGGCTTCGCTTTCACGTCAGAAAACATAGCCCTTTAACACGTGGAAAGCAGCCCCAAACCTTCCTGCACTCACTCTAGTAAGGGAAAAGCAGTAGATAACAGAGCTGACCATTCTCCCATGTCCACACCCATCTGACCCAGCCAAGGTGCTGGCACTGTCTGGGTTCAGTTACCTGGAAAGCAGGGATGAAGGATTTGGCACGGCCCAGCATCCGGCAGTACTCGAAGATTTCCGTCCTCTGTATGGCCTCAGTGGTGGCAAATTTCAAAAACTCTTGGCTAAAACCAGGGAATAACAAGAACAGAGCTTGAGGGAGGAATGGGTTGCCCTGGAATGCGCACACCAACTGCAGCTTGAGGGGAGCTCTCTGCTGGGCTTCTCACAGGTACTTCCAAGAGAGGAAAGAGACTAAGGGCTTCCACGTGGCTCTTTGGTCTCCTTTGCCCTCCACTCCTCTTGCATGGGTGGGGACATCTGGCCCCCAGGCAATCTTAGGCCTGAGAAATTATTTGGTATAAGGTAGGACAAATCAACATAGTGCTTCTTATTGGCTACCCAAAGCCTCTCTGCTAATATTGCTAAATTTATATGGCAGGTAATGATGTTATAAATATCCGATTGGCCCTTTACAGAAAATAAAAGGTTCCCTCCTCTGCTAGGCTCTGGAGAAGGTACAGAGCAGGGCTCTGGGCCAGGAGGTGAGCCCACAGGAAGGAAGTCATCTTCTGTCTTTGCTGGTGTGCGCAGCACCGCGCCCTCCCCTTACACACAGTAAGAGCCAGGCTTTGTGCCCTAAAGCCTGCCTGGCCCTGGGAACAGCACCCAGCCTGAGCACACCGGCGCAGAAGAAAGAGCAATGAGACCCATCGGGGCCACCGAGGAAGGATGGCCTGGCAGAGAATGAGGAGGAGAGCTGAGCCAAGAAGCAGACCGCAGTCTTCACAGGTGGAGCATTCAGTCAGCCAAGGAGGAAAAAGACTTGGTAAATGTGATGTGAAGCGCACGGGAGTACTATGTGCCCCCCACCCCCACCCCAGCCCCCCACTCCTTCAACAGCTTCCTGAGCTGCCCAAAATAAACAGAGATCTTCCAGGGAGTTCGGGCATGATCTCCAGAAATGCCCTTCTATATCACAAATATGAGAAGGGAGACATATTTGCCCAAACACCTTTATTGTCATCCCTAGCCTAAAAGGGCTTCTCTGACATGCTCACTCTGTGCCCAGGACCATGGCTACGGGGGTGGGCAGCTTGATCACAGTTAACAAGATGGGCTCCGGGGAGCCTGGGCTCCAGGTCCAACCTGGTGTGTCACCCGTTACTGCCTTAAACCACTTTCTCAACCTCTCCAGGCCTCCTGGGTTTCCCTCCTACAGAGGGAATGTTTACCATAAGGAAGTAAGGGAGGGAGAGGAGGAGGGGAGGGAGGGCATAACTGGCCAGAGCCACATCGTAAGTATTAGGGAGAAACGGGTAGAGAGATGCAAAACATAGAGAATCACTCCAACCGAGTCTGTCCATTTGTCCATCCTCCATTGTCTAAGGGCTTGTTGATATCTTTCCATGTGAAAAGTCTGATGTCAAGGCCAAAGGAGAGTAAGTGACTCAAAGAAACTAAGTGGGCTTGCAGAGTCAGTGTAGAGGTTCTGGTACCCCCAAAAATGGACTGAACATAACTCCTTTCATTTTCTAGCTTTGGACAGGCTCCCAGAAAAGGCCCAGGGCTGCCTAACACAGGGCCTACGCCTCCAACATGCAAAACTTTATTTCCTAATAGAAAATTTCTCATTGTGGAGCTGGGGTGCCACCTAGTGGCCAAATACACACAATACACCCCCCACAAAGGTACCAGTTTACTGCCTCCTGGAATAGGATCTGAGGCCTGAGGCCCCCTGGTGGTATGATGGGAGACTACTGGTTATTCTGCCCAGAGACCTGAACAGAAAACCAAGTACAGAAGACCAGCAGTCGCTGAAATTCACACAAGAAAATGAAAACTGAAACATTTCTCCCCATGTAGAAAACATCATTTCCAGGCCCTTTCCCCCCACAGAAGTCACACATACCTATGGCTACTGCCCAGCAAGACCAGATGATCTGTCTTCACCGGATAGTGGCCGAAAGGCAGATGAGCCATGAGGTAGCAGAAATGAGCAGCCTCCAGGAGCCCTTTCCCAGCTGCAGGAGGAGCAGAGCAAGACCCAGTCATGGAAGAACCCAGGTGGAGGCCCATCGTCTGGGTGGGATAGGGATAGGAAAGCAGGCTCAGACGTTAGGAGAGACCTCCCTTCTGAGAGTGCCATGGCCGACTTCTCCTAGCCATAGGCCACAAACACCTGAACTCCTTCCTCAATCAGTATTCGGCTTCCAATATCACAAATTCCCTTCAGCCAGAATAAGCTATACTATTTCACATTAGTGCTCCTGTCCTCTCTCCCCCCACCCCACCCCAACGCCACACTGGGAATTTTCCAACTAGTCCTTCCTGAGGATGCGCGCTGCGAAGAGACACCTGCATTGTTGGGAGTGGTGTAATCCTCCTCGAGTGGAGTTCCCAGAGAAACAAGCTCAGCTTCTCAAGGCAAAGTTGTTTCCCCTGTAGTAGAAAGCTACTCCCTTCCTCATAAAACTCACATGGATTATTACCAACTCGTTACCGAATGGCCTGGCAGCCGTGGGTTCCCTATCGCTCAGGGTGCTGAGTGACTGACCATCACTTGGCACAAGTTTCTGTCTGGCTACTTCAACTTTAACAGGACAATGGCTCACCACTTCCACAGGCTTTCTACATGATTTCTACATGGTCTGCCCTCTGACCAAATTTGAGAACACTGATCTAGAATACTCAATGGCCCCTAAGTGCTTATGTAGGCCATGTTCACAGAGAGATGCTAGAAATAAAGGCTACAGAATGATTCCAGTCAGGCAAAAAGAACATTTCCTATCTGACTAAGCCAGGTCACTGAAGTACTAACGGCCACAGGAGGTGAGATGTCACCTGTGTAATTTCCTGTACAAGGCTTTCCCTTCCAAGGCTGGAAAATCAACTGCTGAGCAGAAACTGCAGAGCACTGGGTCTTACAGCAGGAATTCTGGGAAGTCAGTTCCAGAAGGGCCTCTTCCTTCCCTGGCATTTCTAACCTCAAAGCATGGCGTCTCCTAGGTCCTGGGAAATGACTGGGGCACAGATCCAGACCCTCCCGGAATCTAAGGTCCTGAAGACAAGTGTTTATAGCTGTCTTAGAGATTCCCTGTGGGTTTCTGCTCACCCAATGTGTCCCCCATGGTGACAATTGCTCTCTGATACAGCTCCAGGTCTCCAGCTTGATTTGACAGAATCACAGCCAAGTGCGGCCTCCAGTCTCCCCACTGCCTGTCCCCACAACACTGAAAAAAAATAGCAGAAAAATAATGAAAAGTTACAGAGTTGTTTCACACTTCCCAAAATGTAGGTAAAGAAGAATGCAGTCAGTTGTTTGGTTAGAGGAGTTCAGGGAGGGCCGACCATGCTGCCTCCGATGCTGCTCTGCACAGATTTAGAATGTCTTTTTAAAGAAGGGGCAGGTGGGCTGGGAAGGTGGCTCAGTGGTAGAGCACTTGTCTTGCATGCATGAAGCCCTAGGTTCGATTCCTCAGCACCACATAAGCAGAAAAAGCTAGAAATGGCACTGTGGCTCAAGTGGTAGAGTGCTAGCCTTCGGCTGAAGAGCTGAGGGACAGCGCCCAGGCCCAGAGTTCAGGCCCCACAACCGACAAAAAAAAAAAGTCTATAGTAGAAGGGGAAGATGCAGGTTAGCATAGTGCTACATGGCTGTCATCCCATCATTTGGGAAGCTGAAGTATAAGGACCATGAGTGTCAGGCCAGCCTGGACAACATAGCATGACCCTCTCTCAAAAACTTGAAGGTAGCAAAGCTCCTAGAAGGACAGACAGGCAAACACATACATGCATGCATGCATATGTACATATGTGCATACATGTATACATACACACATGCATGGATACTGGGAGACACACACAAAAGAACATTAGAGACTTAATTGTTTTTTCCCAGTGCCTTCACTCAAAATAGCTAGAGACCCAAAATAACTTCTGGTTTTTGAGTGAAGGAAGAGCAAACATCCTTGTCTCACAAATAGATGAGACTATATTAATCCATCACCAAGTTTTAGTGTTCAGGCATCTAATGTCTTAATGAATGGTTAATATTTTCTGACTTTCCAAAGAACTTTCACACCTCATCTTATAACAACTCCATAAGGTCTACTTCCTATGACCACTTAGGAATAACGAAAAGCAAACAGAATCACCTCACCAGGATTCAATCTGCATTCAATCTGCATTTCCTTCTTGCCTTACCTCTGGGGACAATAAAGAGGCTCTGGATCCATCAGGGGGCAGGAGAGAGTCAGCGGAGTCAGGGAACTATGAAGAAGCCCCACATAAACGGGGCTGCCCTATGAACTCACACCCTGGGGCAGCCTTCCCCTCAGTGAACAAGCAACGATGTCACCTGCACAACACACGCAAATCCTCATACTTCTTGTGTGGCCTTCAGCCAGCTTTCTAATCTTTCTTGAATCTTTGTTTCCTCATTTCTAAGATGGAAATCATAATTCCTACCTAACAAGGCTACTGTTAATAACAAAAATAAATCATGTAATGTGAACAGCACAATACTATATACTTTACAAATTCCATAATAGGTATGCATGCGTGCATGGGTGTATACATGTGTGGGCGCCTGCACACACACACACACAGAATAGCATAAGCAGAAGAAAGAGGTGATAGGCAAACCAACAATCTAACTTCAATGTATCCCATAGAAGAGGGATGCAGAAGATTGATAATTATAGCTAAGATTTGAAGGTCAAAACTATTTGTAATTGTTTGGTGTTTATAATTATCCCAGGAAATAGATGCTCTACCCAATTCCACGCTACAGTTATTCCTTGTTTGAGTAATGCAATAGAAGTGATAAGAAGATCATGAGGTAGTGATAATAAATCACAATAACAACAACAGTTCTCATTGATCATCAAAGTTCAGCCCATGAACCATACTCTGGGTTAAGTCCTTCTGCCACTAATCACAGTGCCAAGCTTGAACATGGCTTTAATATGTAAGGCAGGCCTCTTCCTGTGGACTCTTTAGCAAGCCAGGAAGACGGAAGAGAATTCCTTGTCTTAAAAAAAAAAAAGGTAATCTTGGAAGTAATCTTCCTGTCTCCTTCCTTGGATGATTTTCTGTTTGAAATCACCATAAAGCAATGCACCAAGCACAGCAGTTGATGGGTTCTAGAATGTTCTCTCATTTTCACTGTAACCCTACACAGATGCAGAACTAAGGCTCTGGGAGATGAAAGTAACCAAGTCAAGTTCACACAACGCTGAGGAGCAAAGACCGGCTGTGGCTGTGATGAGGCCCACGCCTGTGGCCTGTGTGCAGGGTCATGCTACTCCCGCTCCATCACGGGCTGAGCTGGAGCCTTTTGTCCTAGGTGAGGGGCTGGGAGGCACGCTAACATCACACATCACCTTGGCACAACACGTCTAGCTTCTCGGGTTTCTCGCCTCAAAGTGGGAGAAAGGAGCTAACTCGGCCTTTTTGGTGTGACCCAGTGGACCATGGGCTAATTATATCATTGTCTCCATGGGCTGTTCTGTGACACGATGCAGTTTCATTGCAGAGCTGACATTTCCATCCAGCTGAACTGTGCGGCACAGTCCACGGCCAAAAGAGCCCACTGGCTTAGTGACGGCACCAAAGCCATCATTTCCCTTTCCTTTTTCTTAGAATAAGTCACAGGCCATAAGAACATCAAAAAAGAAAGAGAAAAAGTGTGAAGTTTATTTTCAGTCAAAGAGAGAGAGCCAGTGAGCAACAGGAGGAAATCAAGGTGGGCTGAAGAGCTCAAAACAGAAAGGGAGAAAAACTCTAGGAAAGAGACAAAAATGGAACAAACACAAAAGCAAAAGGAGGGAATGAAGGAAGGGAGGAAGGGAGGAAGGAAAGAAGGAAGGAATGAAGGAAGAAAGGAAGGAAGGAAGGGAGGGAGGGAGGGAGGAAGGGAGGGAGGGGGAAGGGAGGAAGGAAGGAAGGAAGGAAGGGAGGAGGGAGGGAGGGAGGGAGGGAAATTGAGAAGGGGAAGGAGGGAAAAGAAAGAGAGAAGGAAAGAAAGGAAAGAAGGAAGGAAGCAAAGAGAAAAAGGAGAGGAGAGGAGGATGGAAGGAGGAAAAAGACAGAAAAAGAGAAGATATTTTTAACTAAAAAGAAAATTACATATATATATGAAATTCACATGTGTATCTTTAATATGTTTTACACACACACACACACACACACACACACACGTGGAATTCCTGAAATAAAACTAAAATAATTGCATAAGAAAATACTGAGATATAACTGAACATTTTCATGAACCCTAAGCTAATAAACGTACATAAATGGAAACCTGCTGTGAATAGCCTGTAGAACAATAGGCTATTACTGTTTATAGCAAAGCAGACAACTGTGGTATTTGTGTGGAAAAACAAGGTATTTACAGTCAAACAGACCTGGACCAACCATGACCCTACTCTTCACTGCATGACCTGGAGCCATTTTGCACCTTTGCACCGATTTCCACATCTACAAAACAGGCATAAGCACTTCTGTCTCTAGGTATCAAATGAAGTAATACACATCACAATACTCAGACAGGGGCAGGTGGCTCAAATCTGTCATCCTAGCTACTCAGGAGTCTGAGATCTGAGGATTGTGGTTTGAAGTCAGCCCAGCAGAAAAGTCCAGAAGATCCTTATCTCCAGTTATCACCCAAAAGCTAGAAGTGGAGCTGTGGCTCAAGCAAGTCCGAGCCTTGGGTGAAAAAGCTAAGGGACATTGCCCAGGCCCTGAGTTCAACCCCTGCACTGGTGCAAAAATTAGAATAAAAAAATAGACCTTACCGTGGGACCAGGTACAAGAAATGAGCAAACAATTATTATTCAGATTTCACCTGGGAAGCCATCACTTCATTTGTCCCACCTCCAACTTGTGGCATGCTAGGGTGTGGAAGGAATTCTGTCACACAGGGTACTGAGGCATACCGTAGCTGCTTGTGGGATCCTTCCGGACATGAGCTGGAAGAGGGTCTGCAGGGGATCATTGAGCGCTAGCGTGGTGGTGAATCTGCAGAGAGAAAGGACAGTTGGTGGAACTCAAACACAGCAGCCTTGTCCCACTGCCGGCATACAAGGCCTTGCTCAGTTCAGCTTGATTTCAGCAGCTTCTTTTGCTTGAGCAACTCTGTTTTTTATGCATTTCTTTCATAGCCTCCTTTTGAGGAAGGTCATCCGCATCTTCATTTCATCAGACATACCCAAGTAGACCTCAAAGTTGGGAGATATGTTCTCTGTACTTTTTCCCTAATGCTCGAACTGGGAATTGAATTTGGGGGTCTCTACTAGTTGAGCCATGTCCAAGTCTTTTATGTGTTTAGGTTGATTTTTCCAGACAGGTCTCTTACTTTTGCCCAAGCTGGCCTTGGATTGCAATCCTCCTATCTTCACCTCCTAAGTAGTGGGGACCCCAGGCCCAGCCCTGATGCCCTGACTCTTGAGTAAACATGTTGATTTACCTTTCTGTCAACAAGATGAACACCCACATCTCATGTGTCCCCAGAGAGTCCAGCAGTTTACCTGGAAGCTCTTCCTGGGTCCCTTCTTCTCAGCCACCCTCAGTTCCTCCTCCACACCAAACCCACAGCTCTCAGTACCATTTTTCTGCCTCATCCCAAGCTTGAGTCTATAGAGCTTTGACTTGCACGCACTAAATAGCCATTTTCAATGACCAAAGAGGCGTGGAACAGGGACCAGAAGTAATCCTACTGATGACAAACCATGGGATATGCTTAACAAGGATATAATAAGCTCTAAAGCTGATTTGAGATTTAAGCGTACTCAGTAAGAGATATTTTTCACAATTCACTGGGCCCCATCAAAAATCAATGGCCCAAGGCAAAACTCTATAGCAGAGATAGATGCTACAGCCTGGGTATGTGGGCTGTTCCTTTTCAAAACCCAGAGGAAAATGGTCCCTTGAAACATCCTTGCCATAGGAGCTCCGAGCACTGAGCATAATAGATGACAGTACTCCCTGCCATACCAGCCACTGGGTATAATAAAGTGCTGTATAGAAGTACTCATCCCCAGGAAGACTGGAAGTCAGGGTCATAGAGACTGGCTCCTAGGCAGTGGTGCAGCCACGAAGGCCATGGGTCTCCATCATTTCAACCAACTCTCTGCCCAACAGGCCGATTTGAGTCTACATAATCTGCAAGGGTATCCCCACTGTCCTGAAGAGAAACCCATAAAGGTAACACCTCTCTCTCACCTGACTCGAGCCTGCCCCTGATATTTGCCCCGCCCCCCTCCTCATCCCTATCACCCGGAGAGCTAGCTGGAGCCCGAAGGATAGACTCAGACAGAAACCCATCTCCAGATTCCCATAGACCCAGCACAGCCTCTTCCCACCACAACTCACAATCGTGCCATCCCATATCCCTGCCCACCCCTCATTACCCACTGCAAGACTAAGCCCTGCACACTTACTCCTTAGGTTCTATCAGTGAAACTTAGGTGATCCTCACTCCCCTCATCAATAGAACCAGAGCAGATTACTGCCTGGAAGAACATATTTAATTGTTAGACAGTCTGGCCCTACAAAATATTACTGAAATGTTTCATTCCACTTAGTGGATAGACAGAATTTAATACAGAATTCCTGTATCTAAGTTATAAGAATCTGGAGAAACAGGGCATAGTAGCACATAGCTGTAATCTAAGCACTCAGGAGGCTGAGGCTAGAAGATCACAAGTTTGAGGACAACCTGCTAATGAGTTCTCGGCCAGTCTAAGCTACGTAACGAGACCTTGTCTGGAAAGGAGGGATGCATTTTTCTCTTTTCCCTCACTACCTCCTCACCACCTTTGGAGGGGAGAATTCTCTTTTCCTTAGTCCCTTTTATAAGCTGGACTTACCCACTCATGACCCAGTTGTAGGTCCGTGGGTCCATCTTGCTGGAAAGGAACAAAGCATGACCCCACAAGTGGTTCTTCATAGCCCACTCCAAGGCCTCCTGAAAACCAAAGCATCCTGTTCAACAATGCCTTAACTGCCTCCCTCCACCAAAACAAGTCCTCACCTGGAGGCCATGCCGCTGGCTGAGCAGCAAGGGCTGGGTCTCCAGGGGGGAGACCTGGAGTCTCAGGAATGAAGCAGCGCAGCGTGCTTTTCTCAGTGTGTCTACTTCTGCAGCCATTTCAGTAGCTTCCCTTCAAATGTAGTCCCCCAGACAGGCTCATAGCTTCAGCCCAAGTTAACAAACTACTTGTAAAGAAGCTAGGTACCACGCATGAGAAAAACATTTCACCCCAAGGACTGAGTCCCAAAATAGGAGTAGAACAGGGGTATTCCTGAGGTCTGACTAAGGAATAGCGCCTTTTCCAATGCTGGCAGAAACTGATGGCTGCTCTCCAAAATCCCTGCCTTCCTTCCTGAGTGAAGCACTGGGCCATGTTTGTTGCCTCCCTGGCTCTGAGTTTGGCTGAGTCTTGGCCACAAAAATGCCAGGTGCTACTTCCAGGTGTAGCCCATAAAATCACTCACACCCACCCCTCCACGTGGTGACCCCCCCCCATCAAGTGTCTGGAATGGAAGGAAGGGACTCTGGGGAAACTTAGCTGAAGATGGTTGAGCCCCCCATTCTGTCTATGTGGAGAAATGTTGCCCAACAGGGCCATTCATGAACGCCTATGTGAATACTAATAGACTGCTATTGCATTTGAGCCAATTTACATAGGGACCAACCTGCCACCCAATGCTAAAAATAATTGCTTGTTAATTTATCAAATGCCCTTGTATGTCAAATTCATAGCACCACTAATTGGGTAAGATGAGCTGGAGCTGAAAACTTTAAAGCACCTATACACACACTCACCTTTTTATTCAACTGACATGTGAGATTTTGAACTGATATTAATAATTTCCTGGGTGCACAAAAATGTGATTTGGAGACAGAAAGTTTCTAATGAAGTAATTTCACCTCTAAGAAACACGATCTTTGATTAATCCCAATATATCACCATGTATTCTTATTAAAGAGAGAGAGAGAGAGAAAGAGAGCACATGAACTCTCTCACACATAGATGTAAATGTTCTGTTAGGGAATTCAGTCTCTGATACATGGCAAGTAAGAGATGGCATTAAGGGTTGCTGTTTTGTGAAGGTTTTTAACTGTTTTGTAGTCAGTGTTTTGTGTGTATGCTGGTACAGTGTTTTGTGTGTATGCTGGTACTAGGGATTGAACTCAAGGCCTGGGCGCTGTCTCTTAAATTTTTTGCTTAGGGCCCGTGTTCAACTTTTTGCTGGTTCATTGAAGTTACTCTTCAACTGCAGTTATTCAATTAACTTTCCTGCTTGGTCTAGCTTCAGCCTTCTGAGAAGCTAGGATTATAGACATGGGCCTTTAGCCCTTATCTTTATAATCAGTATTTTGTAAGAAGAGTTACTAACGCTGAGCTGGGAATCATCAGATTACTCCAAAAGATAACTGAAGAATAAATAAAGAAATTAAGAACGTGTATCATGATTGTCAATATCATATAATGCCAAAAATAAGACTCAGTCACGTAAGAATAAAAGTTTAAAAGATATTGTGATATCCCATCTCTCGTTAATCATTCTGAACCCTCTCTTACTGCCTTTGGGCTTATTGTGAAATAGAGTGTTAGGAAGAGGTTAGAAGCCTAGAATCAGGGTCAGGTCGCCCAGACCTAAGCCCTGGTTCTATCCCTCGCTAACTTCCCTAGCCTGTAAATACACAGAACAACAACAGAACCTGACTGACGGTTTCTATGGTGATAAATGAGATAATGCAGGAAAGATGTCAAGCAAGTGCCTAGAAGGAAGAAGTAGCCATTTTGAAAAACCCTTCCCTTCCTTTGTTGTTATTGTTGTTGTGGTCATTATTTATCGTCCTTAAAACAAGAGTTCGTAATTCATTTGTCTCTGCATGTGCCACTGGGTTCAAGAACTTCAAAGTAGAAGCTGAGCAATGGCTTTTGTCTATAATCCTAACTACTGAGGAGGCTAAGAGCAGAAGGATTGTAGCTTAAGGCCAGCCGAGGCAGAAAAGGTCACAAGAATCGATCTCAAAAATAGCCAGCCAGCATGCCCCTCAATGGGCAAATGGATCAAGAAAACATGATAGTACATGCCATGGAATTTTACTCATCCATTTAAAAGAGTAATATTGTACCATTTGTAAAGAAATGGAAAGATCTGAAAATTTTATGTAAAGTAAGTCAGGTCCCGAGACAATGGATGCATGCTTTCCCTTATATGTTGACGTTAGATTTAGCTAATAAACTTATAAGTAAATGCGTTGGGTGGTATGCAAGTGCATACAAATAAATTAACTAAAATATGGTACATTCGAGGGAGAACTCAAATAGTGTAATTTCTTAAATAGGTAGTCAAAGTTCAACGAAATAAACACCAAGAAGCAAAAGAGGTGGGATGGGGCCAAGGGAAAGGGGTAGATGAACGAAGAGGTGAAAAGAGAGAAATACAGTCAAAGTCAATGGATGCCCTAATAAATTAAAAAGGGCGAGGGAGGGGCTGGGAAGGTGGCTCAGTGGTAGAGCGCTTGCCTTGCATGCATGAGACCCTGGGTTCAATTCCTCAGCACCACATAAGCAAAAAGAAAAAAGCCAGAAGTGATGCTGTGACTCAAGTGGTGGAATGCTAGCCTTGAGCTAAAGAGCTGAGGGCCCAGGCCCAGAGTTCAGGCCCCACGACCGGACCCAAAAAAAAAAAAACACCATAGTTGAATGGCAACTCTTTTGTACAACTACTTAAAGATAATTTAAAAAATAACCAGTCTCATATGTAGACTGCTAATGCTTCTTAGACTCAAGTGATTAGCTTAAACTGTGATGTTATTATTGTCTAATCTATACTGGTATGTTGTTGGTAAAGAATTGTTTAAACTATTCTATTACCTATTTACTTGACTTTTTAGAAATGTAAGACAAAAATAAAGTTCTCATTCCTTCTTTAAAAAAAATAACCAGCAAACAAAGGAGGGGTTAGATGTATGATTCAAATGGTGAGGTGATAGCCCAACAAAAACAATGACCCAAGTTCAAACCTAAGGCTACAAGAAAAGCAAGAAAGAAAAAAGAAGATAATACCATAGGATTGGGCTATCTATGGGGTCAAGTGGTAGAGTACCTGCCAACCAAGTGCATTCCCTCAAATTTAATCCCCAGTAATACACACACACACACACACACACACACACACACACACACACACACACACACACACACTTTATACAAAAACCTGATATTAAATATTTAAATATAGAAGAGTCACAACTTACTTCTATAAGCAAAATTTTTACGTAAAAGTCTACATACATATGAGTCCAAAATGTGATTTCTGAACTAAAAGTTTTAAAAATATGAAAAACTCCACATCAACAGGCAAGAATAAAAGAATCAACAAAAAAAAAGATAGAAATTTCATGACAAGAAACAAGCCAGATGTGGTGGCTTCTTGAGAAGCACTGGGTTTGAGGCCAACATAGGCAAAAAAGTTCCTGAAACACCATCTCAACCAATAAAATACTGGTGTCATGGTAAATGCCTATCATTCCAGGTTCTCAGGAAGCAAAACAAAAGATCACAGTACAGCCAAGCTGGGGGGAAGCAAAACCCTATCACAAAAATAATTAAATCAAAAAGGTCTGGAGGCACACCTCAAGTGGTAGAGCTCCTGCCTGGTAAGTGTAAACTGAGTTCAAATCCCAGTGCCACAAAACAAAGTTCACAGATTAAAACTATCCAACTGCATTCACAATAACAGAAAGGCAAATAACGACATTAAATTCTACTTTTTCACTTCTCAGATTGGCACCAAAATGTTTGAAAGTTGGGCCATGCTTATAATCCTAAACTATTCAGGAGGCTGAGCCTTAGGCTCCTGGTTCAAAGCTTGCCATTAAGAATCTCGTCAAGGGACTGGGAAGGTGGCTCAGTGTAGAGCGCTTGCCTTGCATGCCTGAGGCCCTGGGTTTGATTCCTCAGCACCACATAAGCAAAAAGAAAAAAACCAGGAGTGGCGCTGTGGCTCAAGTGGTAGAGCGCTAGCCTTGAGCTGAAGAGCTGAGGGACAGTGCCCAGGCCCAGAGTTCAGGCCCCATGACTGGACCCAAAAAAAAAAGAATCTCGTCAAATAGCCTTAAATGAAACAAAATGAAAAAAATGATTTATATTTGTTGGGGAACAGATTATTTGTTCATTTTGAGGCAGGATCTTGTTCAAGACTGGCTTGAACTTGTGATCCTCCTGGCTCAGACTCCCAAGTGCTAGGATTATAGGCATGTGTCAATATGCCAAGCTAATACATCTAGAGGCATAATTATGTAATCTAAACCGATTTTTAATACACCCATAGGAAGATACTAGAAGTCAATGCCTCTAATGTTAACAGGTGCAGTCATTCAACAGTAGGGAAACACCATTGTAGGTGTTGGTGGCAAAAGCACAATGGTATTTTCATTCTCTTCACTTTAGCTTTCTGAACTTCTCACACATTCTAAAATTGTATGATTGACATGATTGGAGGAGAGTGGGTGGTGGCTGGTGGTTACATGAGGAAAGCAAGCCAGGGAGAAGGGCTACTTGCCTTCTTCCTTCCATAGTAGAGCAGTTTAGTGAACTTCTCCACGACCTGAGCGGGCGTCTCCACGGTGGGGGGGATCTCCCCAGTGAGCAGGTTGCGGTTCCCGGAGTTCATCACGGGCCAGTCCTCGTCGGTCAGGTTAATGAGGTTGGCCACTGGGGCCTGCCTCTTGTATTTCTCCAGCTTCTTGCAGTCTTGCATCAGTAGCTCGGCAATGTCAGACCCCACCATGGACTGCAAGACAATAAGCATCATTCTGAGGGAGAATCCTGATGTCCCCACCCTGGCAGCCCAAGCGGAAAGGAAGGCACCAGGGTGTCCCCCCTCCTTCATAAGGAAGCTGGGCCTGCACACTCAAGCGCCCATTTCCTGGATACTGTATTACAAACACCTTCACTATCATGATCACTTGTCTGGTTGGCATAGTGACCAAACGGTGCAACAATCAGACTGTTGTTGAACAATCTCTACCCAGAGACAAGACCATCAGAGGGAAGGTTTGAATTAGAAAATCAGTATTGAGGAGCTGGGAAGGTGGCTCAGTGGTAGAGTGCTTGTCTTGCATGCATGAGGCCCTGGGTTCGATTCCTCAGCACCACATAAGCAAAAAGAAAAAAAGCCGGAAGTGGTGCTGTGGCTCAAGTGGTAGAGCGCTAGCCTTGAGCTGAAGAGCTGAGGGACAGCGCCCAGGCCCAGAGTTCAGGCCCCACAACCAGACCCCCCCCCCCCCCAAAAAAAAAGAAAAGAAAATCAGTATTGACATTTGGGCAATGTTTTTCCTAGGGGCAAAGTGGCGCATCTTTAGTAGTTCTTTCCATAATTATGTCATAAACCAATTCTTGTCCAGCCCATGAAGACTTAAACTTCACCTCAGTCTCCCCATGGAAGCAGTAACTCACCCCATTCTGGCGACAAAGGAGAACCAGCAGTTGCCACAGTAGAGCTGAGTCTCGGCTCTGTGGTGTCTCAGATTTGTGGCTCTGAGCTGCTTTGTGCTGGCAAAAGGTCATGATGTCCACCTTGTGTACATCTTCCCTAGGGAGAGATTTCAGGAAGCATAGGATGAGCAGACAGACACTTCCCCTGCTCCAGGTCCCAGGTTTCTCCTGACAGGCCACAGACCCTGGCCAGGCTAGGAGTGAGACGGAAGCCTAATAATTCAGGACTGGATAAGTCTGTGGCCAAAGCATACACAGATTCTCCATTTCACAAGTGAGAAGCTGAGGCCCAGAAACCTGAAGTGAAGGCACAGAATGGAAGATAAGAATGGTCAGATAAACCTGGTCTGTCATTTCTCACTTTAGGCATTTCTTCTTTCCCCTAAGTCTCAGCTTTATTCCCCTTTCCAAAGATAGATAGTAAAAGAAACTACCTTCTTATTTAAAAAAAGCAAGTTTTATGGCATATATTGGGCATTATTATTTGACCAAGACTCTTCAAAATCAAAGCCAAGTTAGGGCAAAATACTGTTCTCGTGCATACTTGTACGTAAGACATAGAGTTCACCTTCATATAAACTTGAAGAAGCTGTCAAATACACTATGTGCATTTTCTTGGAGGGTGCGTTTATATTGTAATGAGTTTTCACATGCATAATCTCACTTGAGTTTTATAGTCACCACCTGCAGTAGGCAGAGAGGGCATTATCCCATTTCTCAGGTAGAAAACTAAGACAGACTCGTAGAGGACTAACTAGTAGTACTACTAGTTTGTAGAATGCCTAGACCTACAACACAGGTCCTCTGACACAGTCAGGATTCTCTAAAACCAAAATTGTGTCCTAAGTAGTCATCAGAAACGACGGAAAATGTGAAAGCAGTTCCAGTTAATTCCTGCAGAGGGCAGACTTGCACACGGTCCAGAAAACAACTGAAGTTCTCATTTAAAAAAAAAAAAAAAAAGCTCCTTGAAAGAACATTTCCCATTATTATCTATTTTTGATGATTTCCAAGGGCATGCTCCAAATTTCTATTATTATTTGCAAGTACATGGAACATTAAAACATTAATATCTCCAAAATGCAGTTTATTTTTAGATTTCCAAATGGTTAAGCCAACCTTTCTTCTCCTATCAGATGACTGATCAAAATGGCTCAGGCCACGCCTGTTCCTTCTTAGTGGCACAGAGAATTGGTATTCCACCTAGGATACATATTTTCTTCCAAGGAAACCCACAGCTGGATGAGAGGATTTCCTAGATTTTGTAAGTCTTTACTCACAGCCCTTACAGTACTCTACCTGATCAGAGGTCCTGAGAAACTTCTCATCTCCTCCTGGTCCTCAGAATCATTAAGAATAATCTGGAAGAGAAAATCAAATTAGATCTTCAAAACTACTTTACCCACTTTGTCCATCAGATCCAATCGCAAGGCCATGGTGTCGTGCCTTGTGGCAAAAGCAAGAATATGGATGTGAGTTAGCATGTTGAAGATGAACTACTAGCATCTCAGGGAAATGTCTAGAAACATTGCTTTCAGAGACAAAACCCATTCCTACACCACATCCTGAGAGGGTGTATGGCCATCTCCCCACCAAAGTGACCTCTCTTGGAGATACCCAAGTTCAAGCCAAATGAAGCAGACAAAGCCTGTGCAGAGCAGTTGAGCAAGCAGTGTGCAGCATCCCAGGGGCACGGAATCTTGATTACCTCCATGCTATGCAGTTCAACGATGGCCGTTTGCCCGTCCAGGGGAGAATTGGGACACACACATACCAGCTGGCCTCCTGGCCCAAAACTCACAGACACATGAGGGACGTAGAACTTCAAGGGTGCCTTGGGCTTGGCCGCTGAGATGTTCCCTAACCAACAAATACAGATGGACATCGTTAGCACTGCTTTCACTCTTTTTCTTTTTGGTCAGTTGCAGGGCTTGAACTCACTCAGGGCATGAGCACTGTCCCTGAGCTCTTTTGCTCAAGGCTAGCAGTCTACCATTTTGAGCCACAGCTCCACTTCTGGTTTTTGAGTGGTTAATTGAAAATAAAAGTCTCACTGGGACTTTTCTGTCCAGGCTGGCTTTGAACTGCTATCCTCAGATCTCAGCCTCCTGGGTAGCTAGGATGACAGGCGTGAGCCATAAGTGCCCCACTTCACTCCTTTTCTTTAGTTTAGAAATATACTGGAGGCATGGCATGACATAGCTTGGTAGTAGAGAGCTTCTTCCTAGCAAGTGTTAAGGCCCTGAGTTCAAAACCCAGTACTGCCTGCCTCCCCACACCCCATCCCCACCAAAAAAAAAAAAAAAAGCCACAGACATGTTTCTATCCAAATCTCACCTGGAACCAAAATAAGATTCCAAGTGGTCTGCATAGCTAGTAGAAGCCATGCTCCATGCTTCATGCTGCAGCTGATTTAAGCATCTAAGACTATGTCAAGGCAAGGATTTGATCATTTCATGCAAGTGACAAAGCACTGGGCCCAGACGCCCAGTAACGGTAAGACAGAAGAGTCTGGCTCACAGAGCTTGTGTATCCAGGGCAAGTTTCCTACTGCCATGGAACCATGCACTGTGTCCAGCTTCTGCTTTATGCAATTCTCTCTGATCTCTGCTTTCTTCACCTGTTATTTAACAGCACCCCTGAGGGCTTCCTTGCCCAGCTTGAGGATAGCTAGTAATATTCCATTGAAAGAGCAGTTATTATGTAATAGCCTTTGCAAGAAAAAAGAGAGAGAGAAAGAAAGAGAGAGAGAAAGAAAGAAAGAGAGAGAAAGAAAGAGAGAGAGAAAGAAAGAGAGAAAGAAAGAAAGAAAGAAAGAAAGAAAGGAAGGAAGGAAGGAAGGAAGGAAGGAAGGAAGGAAGGAAGGAAGGAAGGAAGGAAGGAAGGAAGGAAGAAAGAAAGAAAGAAAGAAAGAACGAAAGAAAGAAAGAAAGAAAAAGAAATGGAGCCAAGGTTGGCTTCTCCACCTAAGAGACCGACATAAGCCAATGGGGCCAACAATGACCCGTTCTTGGAACTGCAAGGGAAAGGTGACTTGCCAAGAGACTTCTCACCACCTTTCCTCATCAGACTCATCCGACTCCCATGGTCACTTCAATACCCACCCTCCTGGATTGGACGCCAAACTGATGAAGCCATGGGATCGCTCTGCTCAGGAACATCTGCCATGTACTGACTGAGCTCATAGCTGCTGGAGCTGAGTCCAGCCTCGTGCTGCTGGAGGAGGTTGGACTCTTCAGATGGCTGAAAGTTAAAAGCCGTGAAAAGACATGGGGAAGTGCTTCTGGGAACCAGTCTTCACAAGGAGTCCTTCAAAGAAACGAAGTTCAAACTTTCCGATCAATACAGTGAATGAAGGCATAGATGATTTCTTAATTATTTTTTTCTCCCAATCCTGGGGCTTGAACTCTGGGCCTGGGCGCTGTCCCTGAGCTTTTTTTGCTCAAGGCTCACGCTCTACCACTTGAGCCACAGCTCCACTTCTAGCTTTTTGTGGTTAATTGGAGGTGAGTGTCCTGCCTGGGCTGGCTTTGAACTGTGATCCTCAGATCTCAGCCTCCTGAGTAGCTAGGATCACAGGCATGAGCCACCAATGCTCAGCTATTTTTCTTAATTATCTTTAAGTAGTTGTACAAAGAAGTCTCAGTTCAGCATGTCAGTTTCATTTATGTGTGCAATGGTGATGAACTGAAAAGAGACCAAAGCATTCAGTGAGCAGGTGTTTGTTAAAGAATGCATTACAGCCCAGTGCAGCCCAGTGCAAAGAAAGCAGGCCCTAAATGTAAGAGACCTTGAATTTAAACCTCAGTTTTGAGTTCTTATACCCTGTGACCCTCAACAAATGACTTGAGCTTTCCAGGCTCAGTGCTCTCCTGGGTAATATGGGTAAGCATATCTGACTTGCTTACTTTAATAGTATTTAATAACTACCTTAACTATCCCAAATGTGGGCTGGGAAGGTGGCTCAATGATAGAGTGCTTGCCTTGCATGCATGAGGTCCTGGGTTTGATTCCTCAGCAACACATAAGCAGAAAAAGCTGGAAATGGCACTGTGACTTAAGCCTTGAGCTGAAGAGCTGAGGGACAGCACCCAGGCCCCATGACCAACAAAAAACAAACCAAATAAACCAACAAACTACTCCAGATGTTGTACCTTCCCTGGGAAGCCAGGTATACAAGGCATTCATGGAACTTACATTCCGTGGGGATATGAGTAAAATACTGGATTCAAAAGTTCTTTTTGCATAGGGATGGGATGGTGATAGATAGAGGCGAACAAGGAAAGGGAGACACTGATCAAGATGCATTGCACTCATAATCTGGCATCTAGAATTGAAACCCCCTCTGTACAACTACTTAATAAAAATGGAGTTAATTTTTTTAATCTTTTTACTTTGTATATCATAAAGTGCTGTATACCTGAGGGTGGTTGCCGTTTAGGGGATTATTAAATTAAGCATAATAATATGTGTCCCACCTGTTAAGCTCTTAAGTATACAGAGAAACAGTCCACAAAAGTCATACAAAGCTAATCAGGGAGAGAAAATTAATCCAAGCTTGCCAAAAAATGAGAAGCTCATCTCTAATAATACTTTCGCAACTTTCCCATGAAATTGTTTAACTTGTTCCAAAACTTAAAGTTTATTTTTTTTTAAAAAAAAAAGAGCTTTGTTCTGTGGCCCAGGTGGTACACACACTAAGATGTTAAAGAAGTGGTTAGAGTCAGGAAAGCTATCAAGTCCTACTTTTCAAAGCCACAATAAAAGATTCTAGCAGCTTCCCATTTCTTAGGTAAACCAAATTACTAGTGCCTTGGGGTCCCCAACCCCTAATACTCAGTGGCAGACTCTTTTCAGGGAGTGACTGGGATCCTGCCAGTTTTACAGAAATGGATCAGATTAGAGCCTCAGACCTAGAAGACTGAACATGAAGGCAGAAAAGGAGGCCCCAATGGACTCTCTGTCAGAGAGAGGACTAGGACCCTGCTTGGAGACTCCCTCTCCCCTAGTTCTGCCACTGATGACAAGGTAGGCTTGATGCCTGGCCACAGGCCTCCATCCCCACGTCACTTTAGGTTACCTTATTCCTCAGGTCCCCAGGCTGCTCCTGTCCAGAGCTGGAAGTGGGGCTGTCTTTATAAGGGTTCCGGCTGAGAGATCTGCAGCAAAATGACAGCAGCAGTGAGACAGGTCCTAAGCAAATCAGCCAGGCAGAAGTGCTCCCTGCTAGAGGCTGTCCTGACTCTACGCATAGGCTGGCTGCTAGGTCAGCTCAGGTACACAGGGGAAAAGCATTCTCCTCCATTCCCCATCTCAGTGTATTCATCCCAGAAAAACAGGATCCCTGGGGTTTCAAGCACCGTTACTGGAAGTGGTATCAGACGCTGCAGAGTGGGGCTGCTCTCTGCAGCCTGACATCCCGGACCTGGGTTGGTGGGTCCAAGGCAATTGGCCTCAGGAAGGACGGAGGCTTAGGCAAAGTCTGTGCTGCTTTATGACTGGGGAACAGCCCATTCTCAGGGCTCAGGAGTGAGCAGGGCAAAAGCACTCCAGCACTGAACTGTAAGAACTTCTGAACTTTGTTTCAGAAGCCAACATAGTCCTCCTCAGGAATGGACCTCAAGTGATCTCAGTGGCCACAGACTGTTGAGGTCAGGGAGCAACTTTACAAGTGACAAGAAATCTCTCCTCCCAGGGCAATGGTAGCAGTTGGCCTTGGCCATCCCCACCTTCTCCCATGTTCCTGTGTCTAGAACAAAAGCTACTGGAAGGGGTAGGAGCCGTGGCTCAGGCTGTAGAGCTCTAGCCAAGGAGCGAAAGCTGCAGATATTGGAAGTGAGTCATCACCACCAGATGGCCTAACATTGGCCTAACATAGTGCGACGGAATTCTGCTCAAGTGGCCTCTCCTTGCACACTTACTGGAACTGAGTCTCATTATTTGCTCCAAATGGACTCTGCGGGTTTTCACCATGATGGTCACTGAGGTGCTTTTGGTTTCCATAATCTTCACGCCAGGTATAAGGACTCCCTGGCCTTGGCACTGCACCCTCAGAGAAAACAAAATAAAGACAGGTCACTTGCTGTTTCCGAAAATTCTTTCAGAAGAGACTCTAGAGAGTGGTAATGCTGAGGAACTAGAACGCTGCGGGTTTAAAAGCCTATTTTGCCCAATCAAGTTCAATCGATGAGGAGTGAGATCTAGCAATGAAGGTTCCCAAAATGCCTGTATGAAATAATTAATTAGCATGGCTTCACGTAGCTGCATGGCCAGGTGGGGGCCGGTGGCAATGGTACATACTCCTCTTTGCTAGTTGATCAGAGGCTGTCATTAGCACATGCCTATCCCTATGCGCATGGAGTATAATTCCTATTGGTGTGTATCTGCCACCCTCAGGGTAAAGTCATGACTGACTCATATCATGGCCCAGCACACCAGAGGCCCACAGATCTGACTTCACTGCTACCCGACCAGTCATGGTAGCCTGACTATAAAGAATGGTAGAATGATGTGCAAACTCTCCACAGTACCAGCAACCAGTACCACTAGTATCATCATCATCACAAGCCAGGGATGCTCCCTCCTCTCAAGACACAGAAGCAAACACTGCCGGAGTCTTATCTACCCACACAGAGGCTCTATGGCCCCAGTGTCCTATGGCCTGCCGGTCAGTCCCACTCACATCCCCAATCCCTGAGGACTTCCTGGGGATCACTCCATACCTCTCTCTTCCTGCAGCCGCTGCAGGTGTCCTGGGTAGTAATAGCTTCCATAAGCATACTCTTCCCGCAGTGTTGGCGAGTGGTATCTTTGATAGACATCCTCATAGCCTGGCCTAAGGTAGCACACGGAAGTCCAGTTATGAGACAGAAACCAAGTTACATGACAGATACCAAGGGAGAAAGTGGGCACGCTAAACAACTTCAGAATCCAGAACAGCCACAGCATCTAGAACTAGCCAGAAACCCACAGTTCATTCTAGATCACATATACAGAAAATCCAGAATCTGAGCAAGAGATGCCCTTATCACATAACAAGGCCTGGATTTTTAGTAGTAAAATAATAAAACTCTCTTCTCTTATTTAAAATTATTTTTTACCTGATAAAACTGTTTTCTTAAGTTATTTATTCACAACTCCTTTTTATTTTTATAGGAAGACTCTTACTCCTCAAATGTATACATATATATATATATATATATATATATATATATATGCTAAATATGCTCTGAGAACACCCTTCCTGAGGAGATTGTGCAAAACCTAATATATCATTGTGATTTCCATACATACTCTAGATAGAAATGTAATGAAAAAGTCATCAGACTGTCTTAAGTCTGATTAGTTTTATTACCTCTGTCCTTAATATGTCCTTTTTTGAGAATTCAACTATCCAGAGACTGGGGAAGAAATATGCTATTAGCATTTTTAACCAATTAATAATACTTGGATATTTCATAGAGGCAAAATTCTTTATAGTGACTGTCATAATTTCAACCCAAATCTATAGGCAGATATATATCATCCTGAAAGTGGGGCACAAAAGCATACCCTATGAAGGATTTAATTGATGCCATCCATTACTTGCTGCCAGGACAGCAAGAATTCCAGATTCTCCAACCTAGAACCATCTTGCTGTGGTCTCTTATTGTTCTGAATGTGAAGCCTGTTAGTCCATATTTGCCTATTAGAGTTGTGATGTGTTGAACACAGATTTGGGCTATACTGAGGTTTCAACGCAGGGCCTTCAGCTTACTCGGCAAGCACTCTACTCCATAAGCCCTTTTTGTTTGCAAGTTATTTTTTAGATTGGGTCTCAAATTTTGACCAGGCTAGCCTAGAATTTTGATCTTCCTATTTATATCTCCTAGGGAATCACCATGGGAATCACAAACGTGACCACTTTGATCAGCATATTCGTTGAGCTGGGTCCTCACTAACTGTTTTGCCTGGACTGGCCCCAAACTGCTGTCCTACCTATCTCCACCATCTGAGTAGTTGAGATCACAGACATGAGTCACCACACCCAGCCTTAACACAGGTTTTTCTTTTCTAATATCTATGACACTTTTCTAAATTGTAGGATTCTTGGCACTGATGGTATCATGGTAAGCACAGACAAGAATGATCTAAAGATGATAAGAAACTTCTTACCAGGTCCTAAGAAAAACATTTCCATTATCTACAGATGTTGCCTTTTGGAATCCCAGAGCAAGAGTGTCCCACGAGCTCTGACAAATTTCAACCCTTTACTCTTCACCAACTCCCTTCCCCCATTACATTGTGATGACTCCTTTTAGAAGGTCTGCTTGGGATAAAAAGAAGAGAAATACTAACTTCTGTCACCAAAAAACAAAGCAGTTAAGTTTTTAAATAAGTCAATGTAGTAGAATAGAGAAAGAAAAAAAAAAACAATAAAAGCGGGGAAAGAAAAGCCAAATATGGTAATGCAAGAGCATCACAAACTCCAGCCCAACCTGGACCACACAGCAAGCCCCCGTCGGGAATGGATGGGAAGGGGGAACAAGGGAGGAGGCTACAATGCTTGATAAGAATGTACTCATTATCTTGCCCATGCAATTGTAACCCCTCTGTACAGTATTTTCACAATAAAAGAAAAAGAAAAAAAGAAAGCAAAGCTAGCATAGTGGCTCTGGCCTATAATCCTAGCTACTCTCAGATTCAATCACAGCACAGACCAAAATAAAAGTCTGCCAGACTTTATCTCAACCAAATGGCTAGGCACAGTGGGGCGCGCCTGTCATCACAGTGACATTAAGAAGCACAAACAGGATCCTAGTCCACGTTAGGCCAGGCATAATGCAAGGCTTTGTCTCAAAAATAATCAATGAACTGGGCACTGTTGGCTCATGCCTATAATCCTACTCAGGAGGCCGAGAGCTAAGGAAGCCAGTCTGGACAAGAAAGTCCATTCAATCAATTAACACCCCCCGACACACACCAAAAAATAACGCCAGAAGTGGAGCTGTGGCTCAAGTAGAAGTGCACTAACTTTGAGTAAGAAAACCTAATACCCAGGCTCTGAGCTCAAGCCTCATGACCAGCATACAGATACATCACACACTCACACACACACACACACACACACACACACACACACACACACACACACACACACACCAAAAAATAACCAATGTAAAAGAGGTTTGGCAGAGTGGCTCTAGTAATAGAACACCTGCCTAGCAAGGGGGAGGCCCTGAGTTCAAAACACTGGTGCTTCCAAAATTTAAAAAAAAAAAAAAAGGCATGAGGATGAGGAAGAAGGAAGAAGGAAAGTACTATCTGATCATAAGCATGTAGGAAAGTTGGGTTCATTTCAAGCCATAAAACCATACCTTGAATACATGTGACCAGGATAACCCTCTTCATAGTAGTCCCCTGCAGACACAGGCTGAGGCCACACCCCCGGCCTGGAGGGGTAATGTGACTGCTGGTGGTCAGCCCTGGGCTCCTGCTGGTGCTGTGGACTCCCTGGGCTGTCTTGCCATTGATGGAACCTCTCTCCATTGTGCCGCGGGTTGGGAAGAAGCCGCTGACGTCCACTCCGAAGTCCTCTGTCTGGGTCTTTTGATGGTGCCATGGGCCTCCCCCATAGCCGAGCTGGCCACTGGGGAACCCAAGGTTCCATCCTTGACCCCCTGAGTCTCTCTCAGCTTTGAGACTGTTGTGTGGTTATTTTCTTTTCCTGCAAACAAAACAGAAAAAGATCGTCATTTTGTAAAAGCCTGCGTTCCAACCTGGTGATTGATTAGGTTTTGCAAAAGGAGCAACCGTGGTGTAAAACAAACCAGAAGGACACAGACACAAAGAAATTGGGGGGTGGGGGGGAAGGGAAGAAACCTCAAGCTGCTAGACTAGACAATTACATTGATGCTGCTTTAAACATTAAGAAAGTACATACGGAACAACAGATGTGGGAGGCAAAGGGAGACAGATAACAGTAATAAATGCAGCTACAAAATGCTATCAAGAATCCCAATTAATGCTTCTTCATTTATCCACCAGCAAATATTTACACAGCACTTGCTAGCCATGTGCTGAGGTACCAAAGCAATAGAGTTGGCCTTGCAGAGGGCTAGAGCAGTTCAAATAATAACAGAGCCACTTACAAACTGACTAATTCCCTTCAGCCTCCATGGAGACCATAATAACTACTTTGCCAGGTTATTGTCAAAGTTGAAGACAGCGTATGGAAAGTGCCTGGTCTCTAGTAACTGTTCGATACATATTAGGAAGTACTAGTAAGAGACCCACATTAGGGTAGAATGAGTGGATGAAGACATTTCCTAGGAAAGCTTTAACTTCTTCAAGGCACACCTTCCCTGCATCATTACTAAACTTCCTAGGATGGTGACTACTCCTAATCTGGCCATTCCTGCCCACCTCCTCCTGGGAGAGCTTAACAGAGCTAAGTTCGGGACTGCTCACATAAGACAATAGAGGACCAGAGCTCAAAGTTCTTCCTAGTTAGAGATTTTAAGCCTAGAAGTCAAGTCGGCATCAGATCAGCTTTTCACTGATTCCTTGGGATGAGAAGTAATACTAGGAACCATTACCTTCTTCCCAGTTCCCTCGAGGACAAAAGACACTGTAGAGAGAAATCCCACCGCTCAGACCTTTCTTCTGCTCAGGGCCTACCAGGTCCTGGGCACCCACAGGCCACGTCAGTCCCCAGCTTTTTTTGTTCCTTGGGATCTGTTTTAGACTACAAAGATACTGACCAAATCTGTTAACTTGTTTCTGCTCCTGAAACTCCAACCTCCTCTGAAACTTCATATCAGAACCAAAGGTCAAAAGGTCAAAGCCACCAAGATGTCATTCTGAACCGGTGCCACAGAACCAGGGTTCAGTACTGTAAAAAGCAAGAGCTATGAGACAGCAGGATGTGCCACAGAAGAGAAGGCAGTTGGGCCTTCTGTCACAACTCAAGGAAATGTGCACCTGCCTCTCCATGCCAGCTCACTTCCTTGACAAAGAAAGGCACAATGAGAGCCCTGGCCAACAGATCCCAGGCCTGCTAAGAGATCCTTCACCTTTCCTAACAGCGTGTGAAACTCAACAATTTCTAACCAACTGTGTCTACACAAGTGAGAGGCATAAGAAGAAAGCCGCTTTCCCCTTGTCCCCAGACACGGCCACTAGACAGACCATCCCCAGCTGCAAACGTCTAATGGCCGATTCATCACTGAAATCACACCGTTTTGTGATCAAGAATCACCATTTCTGAAGGTTAGACCTCAGGTGTGAAAACACCTAAGATTCTCCAAATGAAAGAATTCTCTGATGACAAATCACATAGCTGTGTCCTGGTCCCAGGGCCTTTCCTAATCTCACAGCCCAACAAGCACAACTCAAACAAGCAGGAGAAGGGCAATCACATTCCCACACACCTGTTCTGCTGGCTTTCCACCTTCCTTCCGAGCGGCTCCAGGGCCCTGCCAGGGACTGCCTCCTCTCCTCCTAGAGACTGTCAAAGTCCAGGTGCCACATCTACCAGGACTTACCTGGCCCTCAAATCTGCAACCAGTTAGTTACCTTTGTAACTGCCCATTCCATGGAGCTGATTCATTAGGGCAAAGTTCAGAGCAACTACTGGGGGCTGGGACAGTCTTGACCTGGCTATCTGCTGAGAAGCCTGTCAGAGATTGGTGCTGCTGTTTGCATGGTCATGGGCTGAGCCAGCTGCACTCACAGGACAAGGCGTGCAAACCCCCACAGCAAACACGGAAGAGAGACAGCAGGTAGAGGAAACCCAGAAAGGCCCCAGGCAGCCTGGTCTGCAGAGAACAGCACCACCTTTGGAGTGTGGACTTGTGGCTCTGCTATTGGTCCAGTGTTACCCCACCTCTCTGAGTCCCTTTCTTTTTCTCTAATACAGGAATGGCAGTTCTTAGGGTCAGCATAAGGACAAAATGTCTGTGAAGGAGCACATGGTATACAAGTAAGTAGAGTCTAAAGTTAAGTATCATCTCTTCCCTTCAAAAGAACTGGGCTGGCCGAGGCTGGAGTACATAGGTAGGGGGTAGATACCTGAATTGTCTGGCTTGTGTTTTGTTCATTCATGCTTTCTCTCCATTGGATCATATAATCGATTCTTTCATCCAGCTGGAAGGCAGGCACATTTAAAGATTCAATGTTGAACTGAAGACACTGAAAGGTTTTCTATTATAACAAGAAGTAAAGAAGTAATTTCTCCCATTTGAAAAACTGCATTCCTTCAGCATCACTAAGGAAAATATGAAGCAGTTCATGTTTCCAGTTGAATACATGTTATTTTTTTTGAAACTGTTTTCTCTAAAAATGGCCAGTGGTTTATTCTTTGAACAAACTCTGAATTCCCGTTAAATGTCAGGATTTGACATACATAAACAAGAAAGATAAAGCCATTTGCCGTCAAAACACAAAGCAGCCAGGCACCAGTGGCTCATGCCTATAATCCTAGCAACTCAGGAGGCTGAGATCTGAAGATCTCGGTTTAAAGCCAGCCTGGGAAGGAAAGTCCATGAGACTCTTATGCCCAGTAAGTTACAAAAAAAAAAAAAAAAAAAAAATCCAGGAGTGGCTCAAGTTGTAGAGTATTAGCCCCTGAGCACAAAAGTTCAGACAGCACCCAGGCCGAGTTTGAGAGTTTGTCTAGTTACTAGTAGAGGGAAAATCAGCACTGTTGAGAGTCTCAAGGTCAGATAGGCGATAAGTTTTAAGTCTTAAGCTTTTCTCTACACTCTGTTGCTACTACCTAGCAACAGAGTGTAGAATTCTCAACCTGCAGGTAAAGGTTTTGAACCTCACTGCTGGGCCATGAAGTGAACTTCAGCTCCGCTAGGTCTACATCCATGTTCTTAGTGCTCTTGGGAAAGGAGTACTAGAAGGCACACACTGACAATGGGAATCAGAACACGGTTGATTATGACATAAATTCCAGATCAAATGAGAGTTCTAATACGTCACAATAAGATGTACAATTCCAGTGTGAGTCTTGCAGCTTATAACATGGCATTTCAACTTGCCCTATCACACCAGCTGCATTACTGGGTTGGCTCAAGATTATTTTAGCAACTTGACTTTCTGGATGCTAAAACTAAGATCCACAAAATTAAAGTGGTTTCCCCACGATTGTAAAGCTAAATTCTTTCGGCAGCTACAGCGCCGCCTTGCGGAGGACTTACAAAAGCTGATGAGGAAATTTTCAAGAATGGTGTAAACAGTTGTTAAAGCACAAATAGCATGGTGATAGTGCTCCCATCACAGAAATTAACAAATCCTCCAAGGCAAGATTTGTTTGTCTGTTTTTGCTGGCTTTTTAGGGGCCTAGTCTAACAGACATCTGAACCCTGGCTCCTTTTACTGACAGAATTGTGACTCTGTTAGCCTTTGTGCTCATTTCTAGTTTAAACATCTAGCCCAGTTCTTCCAAATGCTCCTTTTGTGACATCCCAAAGCATCTCTAATCATCTCAAGAGTTATTATGGAACTCTTTAAACACTCACCAACCAAAATTAATTTTAATTAGCTTTAATTATTTTAGGTAGACATATGGCATACAACAGTTATATGGGTCACAGAATGAAATTGATTGCGATGGGATCTCACCACTCCAAAGCATTTGAGGTTTATCAGCCCCGGCCTTCCCCAGTCCCATATAGCTACAGTTCTCACTAAGTCTTTCAAGTCGGCAGCTCAATTCTTCTTTGTTTCTAAACTGAATTTACCTAGTTTGGCACTGCAGCCCTCTCAGAGGAGGGCTAGAATTAGTCTCATCACCCCAAGTTCTGGCTACAGTGCTATCTTACGATCCCATCGATTCCCTCCTGTCCAAACAGCTACAGTCTTCACACTAGCTCTGTCCCAGTTTCCTGTCTCTGCTTCCTGACTGTCCACTAGATTGGAATGCTGGAAACTTGCTCCTTGGTATGAATTTCCCTGCCCAGTCCCTGTCCGCTTTTCAAACCAGACTACTCCCTAGGGTCTTGTTTCAAACAGGAGTAACTACCTGCTATAGATTGAATATTTGCTTCCCAAAAGATTTAGAAGTTGAAATCCTAACTCCCAAGGCGATAAAGTTAGGAGATGAAGCTTTTGGTGTCATGACATGGCACTCCAGTGAAGGAGATAAGTTCCCTAATGAAGGGACATGAGAGATCTTGCTTCCTCTCCTTCTGCTCTCTGTAAGTATTATAAGGATACAATGAGATGGGGAGCATCCACAAACCAAGCCATAGGCTCTTGCCAGATACCAGATCTGCCAGCAACGTGATCTTGGGTTTCTCAGGCTCAAGAACTAGGAGACATAAATTTCTGTTGCTTATATGATCAAGTTTATGGGATTCTGTTGTAGCAGCCTGAACCAAGATACTATTTATCTAGTTTGACATCTGTCTTACAGCAAGTGTCATTGCTTCTAATGGTGCTGCTAATCGCTAGGCAGCAGATTAGTGTTGAAGAATGTGAATACCCACCTAGATCCAGGTCAGGTTTGCCAGGTTTCCCAGAACACTGTGATATAATGGCTGGTTACTTCCACAAGGGATAACGTGGCAGATGAGACATTTCATCCGAGGCTTGACCTCATTCCTTTACCGAAATTGAAAAATGTAGAAAATAAGCCAGGCGCTGGTAGCTCACGCCTGTAGTCCAAGCTACTCAAGAAAGAGGCTGAGATCTGAGGATCGAAGTTCAAAGCTA